ACAGGTGTTCTCAGATGTTCCGAGGTGTTTTCAGATGTTCCACAGGTGTTCTCAGATGTTCCGAGGTGTTCTCAGATGTTCCGAGGTGTTTTCAGATATTCCACAGGTGTTTTCAGATGTTCCACAGGTGTTCTTAGATGTTCCACAGGTGTACTGAGATGTTCCAAAGGTGTTCTCAGATGTTCCGAGGTGTTCTCAGATGTTCCACAGGTGTTTTCAGATGTTCCACAGGTGTTCTTAGATGTTCCACAGGTGTACTGAGATGTTCCAAAGGTGTTCTCAGATGTTCCGAGGTGTTCTCAGATGTTCCACAGGTGTTCTCAGATGTTCCATAGGTGTACTAAGATGTTCCACAGGTGTTCTCAGATGTTCCAAAGGTGTACTGAGATGTTCCACTTGTGTTCTCAGATGTTCTGAGGTGTTCTCAGATGTTCCACAGGTGTTCTCAGATGTTCCACAGGTGTACTAAGATGTTCCACAGGTGTTCTCAGATGTTCCGAGGTGTTCTCAGATGTTCCACAGGTGTTCTCAGATGTTCTGAGGTGTTCTCAGATGTTCCACAGGTGTCGATGAGACTGAAGGAACATATATTAGTACTTAGTCCTCTGTCTGTTTGGCTTTACACATAGAGCTGCTTGCTTGCCAGCTCCTGTTTAACAAAAGGCTTTTCTAACAGTTTTCATTTCCAACTAAATGAAACCGTTCCATTGTAATCTTTTATTGTGTTATGCCTCATTTCAACCTTGAAACTAAAAATGAATGTACCTCAGTGTAAAGGAAAACCAAAAAAGTCTACAAACATTTCTCTAATAGGCCTGACATGAAAACTACTGGTTCACTCATTAAAATAAATAAAAATCTCTAATTCATTGTTATGTAAAACCATCAGGCCTGTCAAAGGATAAATCTATTGCTAACAAAGAATCAATATTTTCCAAATAAATTGTTGTTTACCTTTAAATTTGAAAGAATAGGATTATATGACGAATATGCCACATAAATACTGATTTGTGACTCACTGTGTGAGCAACGGCAGAGGAATCCAGATAAAGGATAGGCTACTCCGTTAATGGTTGCTGTGGCAACTACACTGACAAGAGGAGGGATGCAGGGGCACTGTGGGTGGCAGTAGTAGAGGGGGTTATAATGGCATCATCCTCTTACAGTATTGATTTGCACACATATGCATCCAGCTTTTAAATGACTTCTTTGTGAATCAGCACACATTCAGAAGGTCTGCACAGCCTCATTCCCCCGCTTCCACTCAGCACTCCGGTTGCTGGAGGCAGCTGCACACAGATTTAGATCGGACAGCCTAATTACAGCTGTGCAAACATGCACGCACCAAGTGCATGTATACATCTCTGTTCACACATAATGCAGAAAATCATACGGAGCACAGTCTGACCCAGTTTTATGCATCTCTGGGCACTCTCTGTCTTCCTCTCTCCATGTCTCTTGGCTTCTCAGTTGCCTAATTTCTCTCTGTGTGTCTCCTTTTCTCTCTGCTGCTGCTGCCACCATGATACCCTGCTCCTTTGTAGTCACTGTGGTCGTGACTGTGTTGACTAGATCTAGAGGCAGTTGTGGATTAGATATTTTATGCACCGACTGTGAATCTGACTTTCTAAATGTGTGTGTGTGAAGCTTTTTTGTCAGCAGGAATCAGATTCTGTCGGGGGGACATGACTAGAGGTGCTTTGGGACACGGAGCACAATGTGTCTGTGTGTTTATTCAAAAGGGTCACAGTGCAGTAATGGGCTACTCCACAGCACTGCTATTCCTGCTTAAATGGAAGGCAGTGTCACTGCAGAATGTGTAAAATCTATGTTATTCGGTGTAGATGTGGCAGGTTCACACTAAAAGGGTGATAAATGTTTGTCTGGGTTTGCATTAAAAAGAAGGGTTTAGAGACCCTCCTGTTGGTCCATCTGAGCAAACAAACCAGAAGCTATCAGGATCTCCTGTAATTAACTTCTCACTATGGAGTGCATTTAGCAGGCAGTTTTCTGATCCAGTAGCACGGGAGCACCACAGGGGACGGTATTCTCTCCTTTCCTTTTTCCTCCGTTTACCTCGGACTTCCAGGACCAGACAGAGTCCGCAGTCAGACTCTGCAGTCATTGGGGGCATCAAAGATGGAGCAGAAGCTGACAGAGAGCTGGTGAAGCCCTTTGTGGAAACATGGTGTGGAAACAATCATCTGATCCTGAAGGTCAACAAAACAAGGAGATGATTGGAGATTTCAGAAGAAACAGGAACAAGTTGAAGCCTGTTAACATCCTGGGAGAAGAAGTGGAGGTGATGGAGGGGTAGAAATCCTTTGGTGTTCACCTGGACAACAACCTGGACTGGAGACACACCTGGGAAGCCGTCTGCAAGAAGGGACAGAGCAGACTGGACTTCTAGAGGAAGCTGAGGTCCTTCAGAGGCTGCAGATCTTCTATCAGTCTGATCTCTGCCTTCATCATCATCATCATCATCATCATCAGAGCTGATGACTGAAAGAAGCTTAACCAGCTGATAAAGAAGGCCGGCTCTGTTCTAGGAAGTCCTCTAGAACCTCTGGAGATGAAGAAGATGATGGACAGCACTGAGCATCCTCTTCATCAGACTGTTAGACACCAACAGAAGGTCTTCAGGCAGAGGCTTTTCTACATCTGTTGCAGACAGACCTGTACAGGAGATCATTCCTGCCTTCAGCATCAACAGCTCTTTGAAAAACTGCCCATTAATTACTGCAACAGTCCATTTCCTTTGGGATTAATAAAGTATTTTTGAACTGAATTGATGCTTTAGGTGTCATCTGTTTTCCCTAATAATGGCTTGATGTGTTACTCCAGCTAATAATCTTTTAGGAACCAGTCTGGGATTTGCAAACCTTCAAAGATGATCGTGCCTTTATGGCAGCGGCACAGAGACTCTGGAATAACTTGCCTTGCCTTATTTGATCGGCAGGCTCCTTAGAGGATTTTAAACCTCTCTAAAACCAATTCTTCATCCTGGCTTTTAATCAAGCCTAAGTTGATATTTGGCAAAATTCTATTTTAACTTCTATTTTATTTTAAAATGTATTTTATTTAAATCGAAACATTTATCCTATTATATTTTATCTCCATTCAATTTTTCTTTTTGCATTGTGTTCATGTATTTGTAGCTTTCAGTTTTCATCCAATGCTCTGCAACTGTGGTTTCTTTGCAGCACTTCGGTCAACCACGGTTGTTTTAAATATGCTTTATAAATAAAGTTTGAGTTGAGTTAAAATAAATATTTATAAAACCTTAGATTTATGTCACTGAACGCTACAGCAGTAGACTCAGCCTAATATATCTTTTCAATGTATATCTCTTTAAATAAGAATTATTACAGGTGCTGGTCATAAAATTAGAATATCATGAAAAAGTAGATTGATTTCAGTAATTCCATTTAAAAAGTGAAACTTGTATATTATATTCATACATTACATACAAACTCATATATTTCAGATGTTTATTTTGTTTAATTTTGATGATTACAAATGACAACAAATGAAAATCTCAAATTCATCATATCAGAAAATTAGAATATTACTGAAGACCAATAAAAACAAAGGATTTATAGAAATGTTGGCCAACTGAAAAGTATGAACATGAAAAGTATGAGCATGTACAGCACTCAGTATTTAGTTGGGCCTCCTTTGGCCTGTATTACTGCAGCAATGCGGCGTGGCATGGAGTCGATCAGTCTGTGGCACTGCTCAGGTGTTATGATAGCCCAGGTTGCTCTAATAGTGGCTTTTAGCTCTTCTGAATTGTTGGGTCTGGTGTATTGCATCTTCTTCTTCACAATACCCCATAGATTTTCTATGGGGTTAAGGTCAGGAGAGTTTGCTGGCCAATTAAGAACAGGGATACCATGGTCCTTCAACCAGGTACTGGTAGCTTTGGCACTGTGTGCAGGTGCCAAGTCCTGTTGGAAAATGAAATCTGCATCTCCAAAAAGTTGGTCAGCTGCAGGAAGCATGAAGTGCTCTAAAACTTCCTGGTATGTGGCTGCGTTGACCCTGGACCTCAGAAAACACAATGGACCAACACCAGCAGATGACATGGCACCCCAAACCATCACTGACTGTGGAAACTTTACACTGGACTTCAAGCAACGTGGATGAAGTGCCTCTCTTCTTTTCCTCCAGACTCTGGGACCTTGATTTCCAAAGGAAATGCAAAACTTACTTTCATCAGAGAACATGACTTTGGACCACTCACCAGCAGTCCAGTCCTGTTTCTCTTTAGCCCAGGCAAGACGCTTCTGACGCTGTCTGTGGTTCAAGAGTGGCTTGACACAAGGAATGCGACAGCAGAAACCCATGTCTTTCATACGTCTGTGTGTGGTGGTTCTTGAAGCACTCACTCCAGCTGCAGTCCACTCTTTGTGAATCTCCCCCACATTTTTGAATGGGTTTTGTTTCACAATCCTCTCCAGGGTGCGGTTATCTCTCTTGCTTGTACACTTTTTTCGACCACATCTTTTCCTTCCCTTCGCCTCTCTATTAATGTGCTTGGACACTGAGCTCTGTGAACAGCCAGCCTCTTTAGCGATGACCTTTTGTGTCTTGCCCTCCTTGTGCAAGGTGTCGATGGTCGTCTTTTGGACAACTGTCAAGTCAGCAGTCTTCCCCATGATTGTGTAGCCTATAGAACTAGACTGAAAGACCATTTAAAGGCTTTTGCAGGTGGTTTGAGTTAATTAGCTGATTAGAGTGTGGCACCAGGGGCCATCAATTTTGAACCTTTTCACAATATTCTAATTTTCTGATATGATGAATTTGAGATTTTCATTTGTTGTCATTTGTAATCATCAAAATTAAACAAAATAAACATCTGAAATATATGAGTTTGTATGTAATGTATGAATATAATATACAAGTGTCACTTTTTAAATGGAATTACTGAAATCAATCTACTTTTTCATGATATTCTAATTTTATGACCAGCACCTGTATATGTGGTTTTCTTCCAGAACTATGGTTTAGAAACGGAAAACCTCAGAACACTGTCCCACAAGCTAAACGCCTCAGCTAAGAACCTCCAGAACTTCATCCTTGGCCGACGAAGGGGTGGTCATTATGATGGACGAGCTTCCAGAAGGTTGCCCAATGATTTCCTTACATCAGTGGTGGATTTAATTGGCGCTGCTAAGAACCTGCTGGCCTGGCTTGACCGGTAAGGGCTCCTTTTATGCTTTAAACATGTATACAACAATCTTTAAACAAAACAAAGGAGATGTTGCATTTAGTGGGTTTTTTGGTGGGTTGTTCTAATGGTCTTGGCAACAAAGAGTTGGTTTATTTCTCTTTAAAATACGCCACATTGGTTAACAAAATGCTTCTGTGAGTAGGCTCAGAAACACCTAGCTGATCAGTGTTGTGAAAATGTTAACCTACTTTTTACTGGTTATCAAACTGGCTGCAAACTGCTATAAAGATGGAATCCCATTCTTCAACCAGCTCCTGTTAACAGTCAGTTAATAGGTGCTGATGGCTGCATGAACAGCAGCACCTAAGCTGGTTCCATATGGTTTGTTATTCCTTTATCCCAGTCAGCAACTAGTGGTCATTTACCTGAATCATCCCTTCAGGTAAATGATCATCCATCCTTCCCTGTCCTGTGAAACAACTGGATGGAGAAACATTACATAAGAACGTTCCCTCCAGGAAGCACCTGCTGTGACAGCACTGCGCCTGCACTGCGAACGAATGCCCACCTTCTCCATGCATGACACCAAAGTGGAGACAAAAAAGCTTTTATACCTTTTAATCTGCAATGGGCAGGATCCTATCATTTTAGCGAATGTCTAAGTCGTGACGATCAGTTTTTTGGCTACTTTGTTCGATTGTCAAAGGAGTTGTGAAATGCCGATGTAATGAAATGGGAAGGGAAAGGCAGCTGCTTACCCCCAGGTCAAAATGAGAGCCCCCTTGGGTTCCCAGACCTAAGATCACGTGAACTTCCAGGTCCAAACAAACTAAATGGTTGTGTCCAACCAGTCAGACATTGTGATCATTGATCAGCAGCAGAGGACCCCGTAGTGATGGATGTGGCCATCCCAATGTTGGAAACAAGAAGCTGGAGAAATACCAAGGACTCAGGGAAGAACTACAGAGCCTGGAAGGAGAAGCTAATGTTAGAGCCAGTGGTCATCAAAGCACTGGGGGCAGGGACCCCCACACAGGACAAGTGGCTCCAACCATCAGTCCAAGAGAGTGCATTCCTAGGAACAGCTTAGGATACTGTGAAGAACCTCAAGCTCTCTGCCATCTGGGGGAGGAGCTAGAGATGAAATATGTATATATATATATATATATATATATATATATATATATATATATATATATATATATATATATATATATATATATATATATATATATATATATATATATATATATATATATATATATATACAGTATATATAAATCATTAAATCTGCAATCTTTTCATTTAATAGTGTATGAAGGATTGTAAACGTTCAATAGAAAGCTGACAGAGAGGGGCTCAGTGGCATTTATTGGTATAGATTTGCAATCATTATAAAGAAAGTGCCTCTGATGTCAGATTGACCTTTTGGGAACAAAAGGTCAAATGAGTAATATTCCATAAAAGCAGGAACCTTGCATGCAAAATGTCCGACTCTTGTTTTTGGTTACTGACCGCAGCGGATGGAAGGTATCGTCCATGGCTGCCAAACATAACAAAATAATCAACATTTCCTCCAATGACCAGGAAAAAAATCCCTTTATCAAGATTCACTTCTATGGTTGATCGTTGCTTAAAATGAAAAACTGACAACAAAACATGAGATATATTGCCTGCTAAGTCTAGCGAAGTTATAGTTCAAAACTTTCCAGATGACCTGAATTATTATTTAGACATAAACTGCAAATGAACTGGCAGATCCTGAACGCTGTCTTTGAAATTCCTTATCGTTAAAGTTTAGTTTAGCTTAGATTTTAAAAGGTTATTTTTCTCCTTTTTTTTCCCACCATCTCCTCTTTTAAATTCTCCCAATTTATCCAGACAGACCTCTTCCCTTACAGACAGCATGATGGCTGAAATCACCTGACACCTCATTGACCTTCAAGTTCCAACTGCAGCTCCTGTTTATTATTTATTAGCAAAATAAAAGCACTTCTTATCTGTAAAATACTAAGATTGGCTTTATAATCTAGTCTTTCTAACTTCATCATCCTATTTATGAAACTAAGTTTCCCAAGATACATTTCTACTCATTTATTTTCAATAAAAGGAAACATGCCTTAAATACAATATCATGTTTAACTTAAATTATTTAAAATTTATCATTTAACTTATATATTCATAGTTTAATTTGAAAAAGAAATGTGCTGAAGTTCTTTCAGTGATTTAGAAATAAATGTTTTTTTTTCCTTCTGTTTCCTCTTCATCCTCCACATTGGTCACACTGTGAAGGATTAAAAAATAAAATAAAAATATTTGTAGCTTTTGTTGCGTCTTGTTTAATGCGTAATGTGATGGTTGTAGAGGTTTTCCCATCTTCTAATCTTCACATTTAAACTTAAAGTTGTGCATTATTGTGAAATATGATAAAAAATGATCAAAGTTGTAGATGATTTGTTGATTAGATTTTTTTCATGAAGTAATCCAGGGATCAGGTGTGGCGAGCTGTCAACAACAGAACCATCAGTCATGCTTTTATAAACCTTCCCTACATGAGGGAAAAAAAACAAAGCTGAAATAAATCATCAGGATTTATGCTTGTAGGCTGTAAGAAACCATAAAGAGGACAACAGACGGGGAAGAAGATGCTCTAGTCAGAGCTAAAGAAACCATCCATGGTAAAGCATGGTGGTGGCAGGGTCATGCACCTTTCTTCAAACACAGGAAAGTTATCTGAAGTGATTGATAATATCACCAATATAAATAAGCCTTTGAAGGCTGCAGACGACCTGAGTTAAAGGTTTAATTTCCAGCCAGAGAAAGATGTTTAACATACAGATAGAGACACAATCAGAGCCTCACTGGGAATAAGGTGTTAAGCCCTACTGGATTTTAACACCTTGGTGGGATCCGGGAGAACAGCCCACCTACCTCCATCAGCCTGATCTGTGTGAGCAGCATATTTGTTTGTCTCTAACCTCCTTCTGTCTCTTTTTTCCAGGTCTCCCTTTGCCAGCGTGACTGAGTATTCATTACTGAAGAACAACATTGTGCAGCTGTGCTTAGAGCTGACCACCATTGTACAACAGGTGCTTCCACACACCAAGCAAAAACTAGCTTAGCTTACATTTCAATGCACAATCCAATAGGTTAGGCTGCTGCCCCCGCGACCCGACCCCGGCTAAGCGGAGGAAGATGGATGGAATCCATTAAATCATCAACAGGAAGCTGATGTGACTCTACAGGAGCTTTTATTAACAGATGACGTATTTCACCGCTTCCCCAGAAAGGTCCTGCTGGAGACTAAAATAGGCTTCATCATCTCCTGACCTCTCTGTTCTTGCTCCTCTGTGTTCATTTAGCTCGCTGCACTCACGCTCCTCTTTAACAATACAGCTGCTGCAGGAAAACATGCTGCTCTCATTGTTTAGACTAAAACTATTGCTGCTCTCTTGGACCTTGGCTGTGCCCTCACAGTTAGAGTCTACTCGCAGCGTGTTTCAGTGTGCTTGTACTTGTGCCCAGAGTGAATCCTGCAGCTGAGCAGATAGCTCCCAATCCCCTATTCCAGGGGCCAAAGGAGATGGAACATAAAGGGGCCACCATAGGTCCACAATGGGCCAGAGGAGTCTGTCGCTGCCAAGGATGCAGACAGAGAGACAAAGGTGGCAACAATGCCTGCATCAATACATCAAACAGATGTATTTACATCCAGTGGGAAATATGTTGAGACCTTCGGTCTCATTTGTTTGAAATAACCTAAAATAAGGCAATCAGTTTTTCAAATAGAAGGAAATTATAATTTCCAGTAGAAATTTGCTGAAACTTCCTATTAGTAATCCATAATCTTTAGTTTCCTTCAGCCACTGGTCTGACCAAGGACTCCCATTACTCCTCCTCCTAATCAAACTCCTCATACTGTTAGAAAACTGCAACAGAGAGATTTATTTCAGATTCACAAAGACTCCTGATCAACCATTAAACTCCATCTAAAGACCAGCTGCATGTTTAGGAATGTTCTACCATCACAAATGGGGGAGTTTCCTAAACTCTACTGAGATTTTACCTGCAACTACAAGCTTTGGTCAGATGAAACTAAGTGAGCCTCTGGCAGCAGCTACTGCAGGTGGAGTTCATGTAAAAGACGGATAATGAAGTATTTTTAATTCAATTCAATTCAATTCAGTTTATTTATATAGCGCCAAATTCACAACACATGTCATCTCAAGGCACTTTACAGTTCAACCAGATCAAATTGATACAAAGTTTTCTATCTAAGGAAAACCAGTTGATTGCATTGACTCATTGACTCAAATACAATCCCCCACACTAAGCATGCTTGTAGCGACAGTGGAGAGGAAAAACTCCCTTTTAACAGGAAGAAACCTCCAGCAGAACCAGGCTCAGTGTGAGCGGCCATCTGCCGAGGCCGACTGGGGTTCAAGGAGACAGAAGCAGAGATACAAAAAGCAGCTGTAAAAGGCGGCCCCGTCCAGGAAACACACAGCCAGGCAGACGAGCTCCAAGGCAGCTCCCATGCCAGAGGACGAAGAGAGCACATCCACTCAGTCACGGTCAGAGAAACAGGACCACACTGGAAAACAGGCCGATCTCCAACATCTATAAACAAGGGTGTTGATAGAAGCAGCACAGCTGATGTTTCTTTCCAGGATGACGTCACAGCCAAACAGGAACAGACGAGGCAAAGCTACTCTGAGGAAAAGCAGAGAGAGCAGAAGGTTAGAGATTGAACTAACAGATTCTGCAGAATAGGAGAACAGAGAGAGAATGAAGCAGAATGATGAAATGGGGGTCCCTATGTCCTCCAAAAGTCTAAGCCTATAGCAGCATAACTATAGAGATAGCTCAGGATAACCTGAGCCACTCTAACTATAAGCTTTATCAAAAAGGAAAGTTTTAAGCCTAGCCTTAAAAGTAGACAGGGTGTCTGCCTCACGGACTAAAACTGGTAGTTGGTTCCACAGGAGAGGAGCCTGATAACTAAAAGATCTGCCTCCCATTCTACTTTTAGAAATTCTAGGAACCACTAGTAAACCTGCAGATTGAGAGCGAAGTGCTCTGTTAGGAACATAAGGAACAATCAGATCTCTGATATAAGATGGAGCTTGGCCATTTAAGGCTTTATATGTGAGAAGGAGGATTTTAAATTCTATTCTTGATTTAACAGGAAGCCAATGAAGAGAAGCCAGGACAGGCGAGATATGATCTCTCTTTTTAATTTTCATTAGAACTCTGGCTGCAGCATTTTGGATCAGCTGAAGGCTTTTAACTACAGTTTGTGGACTTCCTGATAGTAAAGAATTACAATAGTCCAGCCTTGAAGTAACAAATGCATGGACTAGTTTCTCAGCATCACCCCTGGACAGGATATTTCTAATTTTTGCAATGTTCCTCAGATGAAAGAAGGAAATTCTAGAAACCTCTTTGATGTGGGATTTAAATGACAGGTCCTGATCAAAAACAACACCAAGATTTTTTACTTTATTATCTGAAATCAGTTTAATCCCATCCAAATGAAGTGACTGACTAATCAGCTTCTTTTTCAGAGACTCTGGTCCAAAGACTATAACTTCTGTTTTGTCTGCATTCAGAAGCAGAAAGTTAAGAGTCATCCAGGTTTTTATGTCTTCAAGACATGCCTGTAATCTATGTAATGGGTTAGCTTCATCTGGATTTATAGACAGATATAGCTGGGTATCATCAGCATAACAGTGGAAATTAATCCCATGCTGTCTAATAATTCTACCAATTGGGAGCATGTATAAAGTAAAGAGAATTGGTCCTAGCACTGATCCCTGTGGTACTCCACAGGTAACCTTTGAGCGTGTTGAAGATCTATCATTAACATGAACAAACTGAATTCGATCAGATAGATAAGATTTAAACCAGTCTAGTGCTGTTCCTTTAATTCCAACAAAATATTCAAGTCTTTCTAAAAGAATATTATGGTCAACTGTATCAAATGCAGCACTAAGATCCAACAGGACGAGCACAGATACAAGTCCATTATCTGAGGCCATGAGAATATCATTAGTGACTTTCACCAGAGCTGTTTCAGTGCTATGATGAGCTCTAAAGCCAGACTGAAACTCTTCAAAAAGTTCATTATGGTGGAAGTGATCGCAAACTTGTTTGGCAACTACTTTCTCAAGAATTTTGGATAAGAAAGGAAGATTGGATATAGGTCTATAATTGACCAAGTCATCTGGGTCAAGAGACGGTTTCTTAAGCAGAGGTTTAATTACAGCAACCTTAAAAGCTTTAGGTACATATCCCTGTAACAGAGATAGATTAATCACATCTAAAATGGAGGAGGAGATCAAAGGGAATACCTCCTTAAATAACCTGGTTGGAACTGGATCTAACATACAAGTTGAAGGCTTAGATGAAGACAATAATTTTGCTAATTCAGAGAGTTCAACTGGATCAAAGCAGTCTAAACCCAGTTCAGATTCCATGACTACCTCAGGTACAATCGCGGATAGAGGAGTGCTTATGATCTTATTTTTAATAAGATCAATCTTATTTATAAAGAATCCCATAAAGTCATTGCTGCTAAGAGCAGGTGGAATGGACGGTTCAACAGAGCTATGGCTCTGGGTGAGTTTGGCAACTGTATTAAAAAGAAATCTAGGATTATTCTTATTCTCCTCTATTAATGAGGAGAAGTATGCTGCTCTTGCTTTACAAAGGGTCCTCTTATACAGCAGTAAACCATTTTTCCAGACTAGGAAGGACTCTCGCAGGCCTGTGGAGCGATATTTTCTCTCCAGTTTCCTAGCATTTTGCTTCAAAGTACGCAGCTCTGCATTAAACCAAGGAGCAAGCTTTCTATTTTTAACGGTTTTCATTTTCAAAGGAGCTGCGTTGTCTAAGGCAATACGCAGAGAACTAGCAACCCCATCAACAAAATCATCAACCTGTGAAGGGGAATAAGCTAAACTTTTGCACTCTGCAGCACTGCTCAGTGACACAGAGGAGAGAGAAAGTGAAGCAGATTCTTTAAAATTTATAACTGCACTATCTGATAAAGATCTACTAAAATTGAACCTTCTTTTGGGGGAGGAGAACTCTGTTAAAGTAATCCTGAAGGTTATTAGAAAGTGGTCAGAGAGGACAGGGTTGTGAGGAAATACTGTTATTTCTTCACATTCTATGCCGTATGTCAGCACAAGATCCAAAGTATGAAGATGAGAATGCGTGGGACTATTCACATTTTGAACAAAGCCAATAGTGTCTAAGATAGCATTAAAGGCTGCTCTTAAGCTATCGCCTTCAATGTCAGCATGGATGTTAAAATCTCCCACTATGATGACCCTGTCAGTGTTTAATACCAAATCAGAAAGGAACTCTGAAAACTCATCTAAAAATTCAGAGTAAGGACCTGGTGGACGATACAAAGTTACAAAAAGAAGAGGTTTTCTTGCCTTGAAATTTGGATCAGGGAAATTAAGGGTTAAATGTTCAAAAGAGTTGTAGGTATTAACTGTTTTGGGAGTAATCAGTAAGTCAGACTGGAAGATGCTGTAGGACTTTTTCTATTAAAGGTCACGGGAAAATGTTAATAATTTATTACATGATAAACTCAGCGATAACCTAAATATTTCAGATCTGGTCATTTAAGAGGATAATAATCCAACACTTATGGCCAAATCAGGTTTGGGAGGAGGAACGCTCAAAGATCTCTCTCTCTCTGTTTGCTGAAAGTCTATGAAATATTATAATGGAGACAAACTTTTCCATTTCCAGAATCAGGTTGTTTGATTTACTGATGGGCTTAAAAACTCTTGTGTTGATTTAGTTATAAAATATTTTCTTCCTGAACTCTAAATGAACTCATTGAGTTTTTTGTTTTTTTATTTTTCAGAGATAATAAAATCTGTAATAAAATATTTTGTCCACATCTTTACCAAAACGTACAGGAATAATGTAGCCGCTAAACAACATGTGGCTTTCCCATTACGCTGCATCTTATGCGAATCGATAGTGCATGTTAGTGTGAAAACAGTCAACAGATGCTGGATGCTGTATAGATATATATATTTAAGTTTTTCTTCATGTTTCCTTTCATTAATCGTTGCCTCCCCCTCTGCTTTCCAGGACTGCACCGTCTATGAAACAGAGAATAAGATCCTTCATGTGGTAAGTGTTTGCTTCTAATGTTGTTTGTTTTTGAATCAGCTGACCGACATGTGGATGAATCCTGCACAAGTCTGCAAGGAGTATTTTTAGAACATTTCAGAGACACATTCGATAAATGTTCCGAGCACTTTGCCATTTCGCAGAGTTTTGTCAATCGATGTTATGTAGAATCTCTGATTGCTGTAAGAAGAGAAAACATTTTAATTGATTCTGCTTTGGGATCAAAACGCTTTCATTAAAAGTGTCACATCTGAGCACACTTTGACTGAAATTGATTTGTTGTGGGTCTGTGGGTCTTTTTTTGTTTTAGGAAAATGTGTGTTTGGTGTGTGCAAATAGGCTGCAGGCCGTTTGAAAGCCTGAGTGTGTGTGTGTGTGTTTGCGTGTGTGTGTGTGTGTGTGTGTGAGTGTGTGTGTGTGTGGGTGTGTGTGTATGTGTGTGTGTGTGTGCGTGTGTGTGTGTGTGTGTGGGTGTGTGTGTATGTGTGTGTGTGTGTGCGTGTGTGTGTGTGTGTGTGGGTGTGTGTGTATGTGTGTGTGTGTGTGTGTGTGTGAGTGTGTGTGTGTGTGTGTGTGTATGTGTGCGTGTGTGTGTGTGGGTGTGTGTGTGTGTGTGTGTGTGTGTGTGTGTGTGTGTGTGTGCAATGGGGAGCTGTCAGTGTCTACGTGTGAAGCAGAGTGAGCAGCTAGGGTCTGATCTGGGCTGACAGTCGGATTGGGAGGCTTCCTGTTGCCATTCCAGGTCAGGTGGAGGGAATCCAGTGAAAATGTGCTGATAAAAAAAAGACTAAACATTTAATAATTGAACTTTATTGATCTACAATGGAGAAATTCTCTCTCTGCATTTAACCCCTCCCCTTGGGGAGCAGTGGGCTGCCATGGTGCAACACCCGGGGAGCAGTGTGGAGTTAAGGGTCTTGCTCAGGGCCCCAGAGTGTCAGGCTGTGGGAGTGGGACTCGAACTCAGAACCTCAGGATTCCAAACTCTGTGCCCTGACCACTTATCAGCAGAGAAGATAATAGATCACGCTTTCTAAATATCTCTGCAGACAAACATCCAGTAATTTGACTGTATTTAAAAAATGTAGCTTCGCTCGTCGTGTCTCGTCTTTCAAAGGGATCCATCCCTGAGCTAACGCAGAGAAATATCACTTCCATCTGATGTCACACATGAATCATATTAACATTAGAAAAATAACAACGTGCAAATTCAAGCTCAGTCTTTGCATTGGAACTGTAAGTTCTGGATGCATTTGCAATCTCAGGTACTTGACTAAAAGCTGCTCTTTATGAATCTGTAAATCGTGGAGGTCTGAGTACAACAACGTGTTTTGCTATAGAAGGCCTGACTATCCCAGCCTGAGATCACATGTATCATGTGGTACGTCTGGTTGGTGGGTTTAGCTGCAGTTTAGCTGCAGTGAGAGACTGGTGCACTTCACAAAACAGAAGACATCATGAGGAGATTATGAACAACAACACAGGAGCATTATGCTGGAATATTGGAGCAACATTTCTAGATATGTGCCAGGAAAGTTTAGGCACAACTGAGCAAAGACCATGAAGATGACTGGCAACAAATTCTTAAACATAAAATAGTTATTTTGGTACCAGAGTTAATAAAGTGTTTGCAAAGACAAGCTGATGTGCAAAACCAAATTAAATAACATAATGCCAACAGAGGGAAGTATCTGTCACAAGGCAGCCATTTACAGGGAAACCATATCAACTACTGATAAAACATTAAATTCAACACATTCAATAAACAAAATCAAAACATAGTTTCTAATGTTTTTTTTTTTTTTTTTTTTTTTTTTTTTAGAACTTATTCTTTTATTCTTTTTTTACAGCAATAACACAGCCATACATCAATGGTACATAACACAAATGTTGACAATATAAAGTTTTCCATAAAATAAACATCTTAGCTCGATATCTTATGATCTCAGCCTCACATTTGTAGGCTCATCATCCTAAAACCCTAAAATAAGGAAACACTTTGGGCGGAATAGCTAAACACCAATAGCCAAGAGACAAACTTGTTGGGCTTATTTACATCCACATATCTTCTGCTGGCCCCCAGCGCAGAATAAAAGTGGTTTTTTGAAGTCTTAATAGGTTATCTTTTCCATTTTATACAATTCCTTACTTTTTGTACCCATAAGTCATAGGAAGGAGGCTCCAACTGCATCAACCTGGTTGTAATGCATTTCAGGGCTGCTGTAAAAAGAACATTCAACAGATAAGTTTTGGCCCGTCCTTGCAATCCCTCCATTATAATACCAAGCACCAACGGTAACATCCCTCAGTATAACCTCCGTGAAGATCTGGTTCATAGTCCTGTACACCTCATCCCAAAAGTTTTGTAGTTTGGGACATGACCAGAAAATGTGTGTTTGATTGGGGACCGCTGAGCCACAGTTTCTCCAACACAAGCTTGGTACTCTAGGATCCATCTTGGCAACAACATCTGGGGTTCCTGAAATCTCTACTAATAATTTTCCATTTATATTCCCGCCACGTATTGGAGTTTGTAACTCCATGTGTCTCAGTCCAGACTCCCTCCAATGAGATTATTCTGGCCGTCTCTGCCTCCCATCTTTGTTTTGTCCAAGTGGGATCGTTAAGGTTCATTGACAGAAATACATTATATAACTTTACTATCAATTTTTTATGTCCTCCCCCTTTCTGGTAATGAATTAGGAGGTTTTCAATTGGTGTGGGATTAAGCACTCTTTCCCAGTCCCTGTGTGCAACTAGAAAAGAGCGCAACTGTAAATATCTAAAGAAATCACTTTTCTGGAGATGAAAATTCCTGCATAACTCTTCAAATGCCATAAGGTTGTTCTTGTTGATCAACTGATGAAGAAATGTAAGCCCCAGTTCAGCCCATTTAGAAAACGTTTTGTCCAATAGATTGGGTGTGAAGGATTGAATATGTCCAATGCTTGATAAAATTGATAAACCTCTTGGTAGCTTGAAAGAAATTTGCACTTTATTCCAAATGTCAAGAGTGGTTTTAGTCCACAATGCAGTTCCTTTACTGGAATATCTAAAAATGGCAAAACCTTTAATGGTCCTGAACACTTTGCTTGCTCAATGCTCAGCCACCTTGTTTGAGAATCCTGTTGGATCCATGAAATTAAAGGTTTTAACTGAGCTGCCCAGAAATAGTATTTTAAAACAGGAAGCTTGAGATCGCCTTCCGTCTTACTTCTTTGTAGTGTTTTATATTTTATGCGAGGGTGCTTGCTTTGCCATATGAATTTTGATATAATTTTATCCAATTCAGTGAATGTGGACTTAGGTATGCCAACCGCTAACATCTGGAACAAATACAGTAACCTGGGGAACAAATCCATGCGAATGGTTTCACTGCGACTGAGGAGGGGCAAAGGCGATGCTGACCACCGCTCCAGGTCATTTTTAATTACAGCCAATGTTTTACTGGAATTGACATGATAAAAAATCCTTTAATGAGAGAGGAATGTTGATGCCTAGGTATTTAATGCCCTCCTTTGGCCACCTAAAGCCGCTCTGTTGTTTAACCTCCAGTGGAATATTGCTATTGATATCTATTGCTTCTGTTTTATCAACATTTATTTTATAGCCAGAAAAATCGCCATAAATAGAAATCATTTCCCTCAGACGTGGAATTGATGATGTCGATATAGAAGTAGATCATCTGCGTAAAGAGATATTTTATGTTCCTCTGTGCCAATCAAAATCCCTTTAATTTCATCATTGTCTCTAACGAGCTGGGCCGGTGGCTCAATGCTAATTGCAAACAAAAGAGGTGACAGAGGACCCCCCTGCCTGCATCCGCGCTCCAACTTGAAACTCGCCGACCTGAAACCATTAACTCTTACAGCCGGCTAGGGATGAATATAATCTATGTATCCAATCTATGAATTTGGGCCCAAATTTAAACCTCTGTAATGTTTTAATAAGGTATCTCCATGATACGCGACCAAAGGCCTTTTGGGCATCTTATGATAATACAGCTTTCTTAGCTTTTTTTTCTTTTTGGTGAGAGTTTATATTTAATAAACAATGCAGATTATTTCCATAATGTCTCCTGACAATGAATCTGGTTTGATCTGGATGTATGATTTTATTTATTATGACATTTAATCGTCTTGCCAGAATACCAGTTAGAATGCGTACGTCGACGTTAAGCATCGATAATGGCCTGTATGACCCGCAGTCATATAAGCCTTCTATATGTAGTACAACTATCAGACCAAGATGGCGCCGTTGTTTTATTTTCTCAAGAAAAGCGATACGCTTCTAATAACAGTGGACTAACAATGTCTAGGAAACAATTCATTTATGAAACCATCAGGACCAGGACTTTTATTATTTTTAAGAGAAAAGGCAACATTTTAATTTCTTCTTCTTGAATTGGTTGATCTAATTGTTTAGCTACAGTATCAGATAATTCTGAAGTATTTATATAATATTTAGTATAAAACCTTGTAAAATTCTGCAAATGTTTCAGCTTTATCTTTTGTTTTGAGATGGATTTATTGCTCGATTTCAGCTTTAAAACTTAGTTTGAGGACTGTTGTTTTTTAAGTCGGAGGGCCAGAAGTCTGCTCGCTCTATTTCCATGTTCATAAAACTGCTGCTTGGCAAAACAAAGATTACCTTCTATTGTTTCTGATATCAAATCCTGGAGCTCTCTGCGTGTTGTATTTAAATCATTCAGGATCCTGGATGCTCTAGTCCTTTTATGTTGAAGATCCAGATCTTCTAATTCTATCTTCTAAGTATTTCTGTTTGGCTGCCTTTTGTCTTGTTTTTGCTGTCATGTAGGAGATGATAATACCTCTTAAATAGGCCTTTGCTCAGTCCCACAACATAATAGGAGATGTTTCAGGGGGATTGTTTATATCCAAATAATTTTTGAGATCTAATTTAACAAAATGAATGAATTCTTTGTCATTAAGAGGGGAGGTATTAAGTTTCCATTGCTTAAACGATGGTGTCAATCCTATATTCCACTTGAGAGTAACAGGTTCATGGTCAGAGATTGTGATGGGAGATATTATGATATCCTCAACTCTGTGTATTCGGCCTTGGCGGTAAAAAACTAATCTATTCGTGAGTAAGATGCATGTTTGTTTGAGTAAAATGTAAAATTTCAGTTTTTTGGGAATTCGTGTTTCATTTTTATGCACAAAATTTCGACAAAAATCTGACAAAATTTGTAAATCAAACATCCTGATTGGCTGAAAGGAGAGCAGAGACAGAGACACTCTGAGTTTACCAAACTAAACCTGCTGCTGACCAGGTTAGCTCTGGGAGGATGTTACTATGGCAACAGAAACAGGGGATGAGGAAACTCTCTTTGTGAAACAGAAACTCAGAGTGTCTCTGATTTCAGGATTAGAAAACTGGTCCCAGGTCACTGAAGCTAACAGGTTGTTCAACTTGGACCAAATTAGTCTCTTAGAATCTTCCAATCAAGAGAGAATGCATTGATTGATGTTAACGCTATTCTAGGAACAGATTTGCATTGATTGTCTTTAGCTGGTGTTATTCTAGTCACTGTTACTAGACAGAGTTTATTGCCTTTTATTTTACTCCCTCAGTCAGGGGTTATCAACGTTTTTATTTCTGATGTAGTTTTATGCCCAAAGTAGGTCCTCTAGGGCCGATGGCCTGCAGGTTTTAAAGGTTTCCTTCCTTCAGCACAGCTGCTTTTCTTTAATAGTCGATTAACAGGTTGTTGCTGAACTGCAATCATCCGAATCAGCTTTGCTGAAGCTGAGAAACATTGAAAACCAGGAGAACATCGGCCCTCCAGGACCGACATACATGCCTGCACTAAACCATGTTTACATTTCCTAGTTACTTCATCCAAAAAGAAACTGATTTCATTCTAAAATACAAACACAAGTTTCAAACTCATGTAGTAATTATGTCAGCAAATGATTGGAAATCTATGAGCAAAAACAAGAAGAATCAAAGCCAGGAAGGAACAAAGATGCCACTGGATAACTAAGAGAAATGCATCAGATATATTATTGTCCATCACTGTGTTTTATTTAGAATAAATAATAATTCAGCATTAGAGTAACTTTCTAAAAGGAAAATATATCAGAGTAAATTCTACTGTCAGGGTTGAACTAAATGCTAAATATTGCTTGTTGCGCCACTTTCTTGTTAAAGCAGACGGTTTATCTTCTGAAATTCTTTGAGTTGTCTCCTAAAATGCAAACATGGCAAGACTGTAAATGTTCATAAAATAACGTTTACATCTGACTGCTATGAGGACATTTTTAAGACTAAAGTTGTTTAAAGGTAGCTGGTCTCGTTAGCTCCATCTAAAACCAAATAATCTGCATTTATTCCAATGATAAAAGTTATCCTTTTGTCCCTTTCAAGGATTAGGATTATCATTGGGATTATTACTGCTGTTTTAACAATTATTTTAAAATAAAGACATTCAGTTGATAATAGTACAGCAGAAATGAACATTTGCTCTATTGGTTGAATATGCAGTAACCTGCACATAATTCCAGCTTTAAATCCTGCATGGGTCTCATGTTAGTAACTATGGTGCAGTTTTCTGTTGCTTTGCTTCTTAATAATGTAAAACTCTCCGCTTCCTCCACTAGACTGCAGCCTGCAGCGATCAGATGGACAGAATGTGTGTGTTCAGGAAAGACAGTTATAGCAAGTAGCTGTGTGTGTGTGTGGGGGGGGGGGGGTGTATGACTGTTTCTATGTGCATGCATGCATAAGGATGAGACGAATTACATAACAGTGTCCTAGTTGTGTAGTAGTGTGTTTCTCCCTCCTCTTGTTTCCTCCCCTTTACCCCCACCCCCCCCCACACACACACACACACACCCCTCAGTCGTTTCCTCTCCATCTTTTTCCGCAGTGATGTCTAAGTATGTATTTGTTCAGAGTGTGTGATTGTGCTGTGGGAACCTGCAGTCTTTGTGTTTCAGTAATCAGCAGTAAGGAGAAGGTGGGGTGGGTGGGGTTCGGTTCAGGGGTCTGAGGCGGGCTGAGAGGGGCTGAGAGGGAGGCCTTCGGGCTGCTTCGTTACTCACATCTTTTTTTTTTTACAGTGTCCTGTCTGGTGATGTGGCAAAAAGAATAATTGTCTTGATGCCACAAAGAGCCAAACAGATTTTAGTTTCACCAGTGGAGCAGTACGGCTATCGCCATCGTGATCCACTTGATTTATGCGTAGAAATAGCTTTATTATAATCATGCAGGGAGTATTACAGGTTATATGGACACTGCAATGGAAGTAGACCCGGAAAAGAAAAACAGGAAAAAGGAGAAATGATGATAGAAAGAGGAAATAAAAGGGAGAAAATGATAAAACATTTTCATTCTGCTTCATCAGCTGCAAAGAGACGTAAAAAGAACAGAACAACCAACGGATATAACAGATACAATAAAGTAACACCTAGGTACTATTGCTGAAGTATAAGTAGTATTATTTAATCTGACATGTACTCTGTGTTACCTGGAGATAATAATGTGGGCTTTCTGTGTGGAGGTGAATCTCTGGAACCAAACACCTGTAGTTGATTGTGAGGGTGAACTTGTGCATGAAAGGTTTATCCATGGGAAAAATGCTCAATAGCGGTTGTGGAGAGCCGAAGACGCGCCCCCCCCAGAGCAGCGAGGCGAGCACCGGGGGACCCAAAGCCCCAGATGCCCAAATGGACCCCAAGAGCAAAGGCGCCCAGGAGGGGCCACCCCAGGAAATCCGACCCCCACCAAGGGAGGAGGAGAGACGGCCCTGAGGAAGTCCCCCAGCCACCGCAATGCCAGAGCCCCCAGGAGCCGCGGGGACGAGTCAGCGGGCTCCGCCGGCAGCCAGCCACCCTGAAGCGGATCAGGCCATGGGCCCCTAGGGACCCAAGGCCCCAGGGGTGCCCCACCCCCTGGCGGGAGCCCCGGCCGGGGCCCCGAGGTGCCAGGCCCCGTGGAGCAGCCACAAGGAATAAGCCAGTAGCCACCAGAGGGAGCGGTTTAGACCCCAACCGTTCAGGTTCATCTCACATCCAATAATCCCAGGACCGAGGACCCGGCAGGCCGGTGGCCGGTCCCAGAATTACCAGATGAACCAATAAGTGAACCTGAAATCTCGTTCCTGCTTCGGGCCCGGCCCCACACCCCCACCCGAGATCATGACGGCTCATATTAATAAGGTTCTCAGAAAAACAGCTCTGGATAATTACAGATACTTCACCATAATTACCGCTACTTATGGGATGATTTCTTTCTACATATATCAATCCTGGGTGTAAAACTAAACCAGCAGGAAGTTTCTGTCGGTCAGTCTTAGCCTCATTTGACCAAGTAGCTCCAATTAAAATCTCAGAGCCTAAAAAACTCCCTATGTTTACATTTTTACTGCATTGTTTGTGTGCATGCATCTAAACCCGATTCTCTTCTAGTAGTTTTGCATATTTAATCTAATCAGAGTAGATTTGTATTTAATATTTAACTCTGCTATTTTTGCATCATTCTGCACAAAAGACTAAACAGTTTCTCCCAGACCTGTTGGACCAGTTCCTATGTTCGTCTTTATTAAATAGTACGCAGTATAAATTAATTTGATATCCTATAAGACAAAGAAATCAGAATAGATTTGTATATAAAATGATTGGCAGGTGGAAATGTTTCTGATTCTAAATGAAGTGCATTTGATCGACCAAAGAGCCAGAAAAGTGGTGAAGCTTTGCTTAGAACAAAGCTGCTCAGCTCAGCAGCCATGTTTGCTCAGGTTTAAGACGGAGCAAAGGGAATTAGGATTTAGATCTTTGGCGCAATCTGTCTAGTTTGAAAAAGATTTCTTTTAGAACAGTGATGGCAACAAATCAAGCTTTGCAATTTTACCAACTGTCATCCTGGCATCCAGGCTGGCCTGTAGTGCTGATGCATTGCTCTGCTGTGAGGACGTCTTGCGGGCATGCCTGTGGACAAACGGTGACAGGAAGCAGTTTGTATGATGGAGTGAAGGAGGTGATGATGTGGAACAGTCTGATAAAATGATGTCTGTTTCACCTCCTCCAGCTGGGTCACAGCCTCACCCAGGGACCAAAACCAATCTCAGTAACTTTCTGTCTTTTTCTCTTTTTTTTCCTACCTTTGACTCTTTCTTTAGTGTAAAACCTTAGCGGGGATTTGTGACCACATCATCTCTCTGTCGTCGGACTCTCTGGTGTCTCAGTCAGCACATCTGGAGGTGGTCCACCTCACCAGCATCATGCCCAGCGAAGGCCTGGTGAGGACAGAAGCTCACAGAGATAAATCCTGCTTATCAAACCAAACAGCAGCAGGACTTTCTGCATTTCTCTTGTTAAACAAGCTTCTCATTTTTCAACATATGTAAACTCAATTTAAAATTCAATTCAGTTTATTGTAAACTCTTCACCTTTAATTCCACGGGAATAATTTTCATTTTTGATGCCAAAGTGTAAACAAGAAATTTAAAATGCAACAGAATTTAAATGCTTAAAGTATTGAAAGATCTTTAAATCATTTTTTTCACCATTTTTTTTTTTTTTACTTTTCTGTCTGCAAAATGGAAATTAATCTAATATATTTAATTTAGTTTACTTTAATAGGTTCCCTGAGACCCTGAAAATAATGAAACAACAGACTGGAGACCGTCTGAAATACATTCAGTTAATTTGATCTATATTCATTGAAAGGGAAATAACTATATATTAATACAAAATAAAAAAAATAAATATTTGATTCACTGTTTTAAATCTATTTTTAAATATTTAATTGTATATTTAACTAACTGGTATAAACATTCATAAAATGATAAAAGGACAATTTAAATCATATATTAGATAAATTAGCAAACAAAGACATAAATAAATAATGTTAACTTAGGGAACTTTTGTTTATTACACAGGATTTTCACATATTTGGGCCGTTCATATAATCAGTGATTACCCACTTTTTACGGGATGACTACGACCTGGATGACTGAGAACCTTCATCAGCAATCAGTGATTACATCACAATCATTTTTAAAAGGTGTAAATATTTAAAGTTATTTAACAGCAGCTGTTTGCTGATAATAATTAGATTTTATCCAAATGTTACAAAAATTTTTTAGAAACTGTTAGTAAGAACTGACAAGCTTGGCTTCATCTTCAACTCTAATAATAACATTTTGCAATTTTAAAATCATCCGTTTAATTTTTCTTAAATCATATCTGATAAAAAAATGTTCAGAAATCTTAAAGTATCAGATGAGCTTGAATGATCCATGAAAAGCAAACCTGTGAGAAGATCTCTGTGATATTTGAGGTTAGCTGGATTCTTATTTTTCTCTATCAGAGAAGTTTATGTTTGGCTTGATTTTTTGAGTAACTGGATCAATTAAAGGCTAAATATGGAGCTTAAAATGCTGATAAATATTGTTTGGAGCTGTGAGTGTCTGGCTAATAAAGACATAAACAGACATCTTTAACGGTAGCTGATGGTCTAACTTTGTATAATCGTTGTGATTTCAAGCTAGCAGTGGAACATAGAATCCTCACTGAGCATCAGATCATTCAGTTTAAAACAGCACATGTTCTTCGCTGCAGGTGAAATGAAAAGACCGTGTTTAGCATTCACATCTACCTTTTTAACTCAGCCAAATAGACTGCAGAAACCAAAGGTTATAAATGTGTTAGTTTACTGATCGGTAATTTTTCTTCCCAGTTTTTACACCTTTCATACCGAACATTCTGCAGAATCAAACGTGGGAGGACTTAAGGTGGCCACAGAAGTAAAAAAATCTTTCTTCTCATTGCAAGAAAAATAGATCCTTGGAAATGCTTGGAATTGTGGAAAAGTTAACATGAAATGATTTGATTCTTTCTCATAAATATAAGAAAAAATATCACTGATATCCTTTTAGTCATTTCTGAGTCATTTGAAAAGTTCTTTAAACAGTGTAAGGAAAAGTTTAGTTTATCAAGGAGTAGTCCTGGTTAGTCTTTAGGTTTCGGATCATTTGGATCACAGTTTTTAGTTTCTGTTATGTTGCTAGAATCACTTTGCTATGGACTTTCTACCATTCCTGGCCAACTATAGTCTGCTATGAGTAAAGGATGCTTTTAGTCACAAAGATAACCAGCCTATGTGGATGCAGATTTCTACAGTTGGATGTTTTGTTCTTAAAACTTCAGTAAATTCAAAGCCCTGCTTCACTTTACAGCCAATGATCAGATCACAGCTTTTCAAAGGGGGTCATCACCATCCAGCGTTTTTTTATTGTCATATTTTCTCGTCTTTCTGCCCAACTGGAAAAATACTTTCAAAGAACATTCTGGCATTCTGCTTTTTAAACCTAAGAGGTTTAAAAGTCCATTCTTTGGGTCTATTTGCCAAACTGCAGAGTTTTAAAACATCCAAACCCCCCACTGGTCGCCCGTATGTGTGAAACACACTATTTAATATGTGTTGTTTGGAAATATAGATTTTATTAAATCGTTTGGAGAAAGTTTCTCAGATTATCCTTTTAAATATAGAGATATGATGCTGATTAATGCATGTTCCCTGCATGAATGCGCCAATGTTTGACTTTGGAAAAGAAGAGCAATATTTGCCAATAAAAGAAAAGCCCTACAGGTTGGTATAAACCGTGATATTGTTCCAACTGCCCTGTGCACGGACCAACCTCTTATCCCACATTCTATTCACAGCATTATGGGGAGGAGTGTCTGGGACATTAATGCATTAAAACAAAACTAATACGCTTCTGAAAATCAATTTAAAGAACTTGGAAGTGAGAGACTTGACTATTTCATTAATTGGTTTCTATCATTAAATGATGGCGTTTCTCCTTAAAAAAACACACTGAAAGTTGTAAGAATATCAGAGAATACTTTAAGCTGTTCAGGTTTCCTGTGATAGTAGTTAATAGCAGAGGCGGGTAGAGAGCAGCACTACTTTAACATTTTTCTACTCAAATCAAATTTAAAAAAATATTCTACAGAGAAGCGACTTGAGTCCTGAGTGACTGTTGGATAAAAACATCTGATTAAATGTTTAGAAATGATTCTGCAAACAGACTTTATGTGAAAGTTCTGGTATTTTAAAGAATCAAATGTCTAAAGAATACCAATAAATGTAATGAATATAAAAGAACAAATTTATTTACCATGTTTTTTAGGATAAAACTTATATTAGGACGGATAAGAAACAATTTACTGTTTACTGCATGTTTACCTGAAAGAGGGAAGAGTTGGATATTTTAAAAGAAGATTCCTCAAGTTAAAGTAAGAAGTACAGTGCAGTAAACTTAGTAAAAATACTTCAAAGCAAATGTAACTGAGTAAATGCAACTGAGTAAATGTAACTGAGTAAATGTAAGTAATTATTCCCAGCTCTGCTGATTAGTGATGATTATTTCTTAAACTATCGTTCATGTCCTTTAGTTTACCGAATGTTTCCTCAACATCTTCTGTTTCTGTTGTCCTCTCCTGTGTCTGAATCCTCGTGTCTGTCAGGGGATGTACATCAAGTCAACATATGACGGCCTCCATGTTATCACTGGAACCACAGAAAACGTATGTTTAAAAAAAAACAACATCTGGAGGTTTGAAAGACTCCAAACGATCGTTCTTTTTCTCCAATAAAACTTCACCAACTGATTTAGTTCCCCTTTCCTCCAGTCTCCTGCTGATCAGTGTAAGAAGATCCACGCTGGAGACGAGGTGATCCAAGTCAACCATCAGACGGTGGTGAGTAAAAACCTTCAAAGCGTGTTGAAGTCTGGAGAAGCTGCTGCTGCGTCTCTGCAGAGAACAGTTCCTTCTTCACTCTATAGATGAGGAGCATATTTCCCCTCATGGTCCTGTTCACGCTCTGTCCCAGTCTCCTCATACTGGGAGGGGACTCACATCTGATGGTTTAAAGTGTCATTGTATGACTGAACTATTTTTCATTGCATCACTCTTCTACACTGTGTTTTGTTGGGATTTTAAGGTTCTTTCTAAATAGCATTCATTTGTCTTCAACTCTTCTTAGCTAATATTTTTCCAAGTTTTGCCTTATTTGTCCCGTCAGGCCTCTTGTTTCCTTATGTTCGCAGTAATAAATGCAGATCTTCTCTCTACAAACATTTTAGCCCAACTTGGCATTTATTTTTCACCTAAACTGCTTCAAACTTCATCCCTTTTCTCTCCGGCTCCTTCATGCTGTTAGTTTTCTTTAAACTGAATTAACTATTTAGTTAATGACTTTGTGTTTTTCTACCACATAAAATAATAGAATAGAAAATCCCTTAATTGTCACAATGTGGAAAACTGCTGCTTATTGTGCAGTTTTTGCTGATTACTGTCACCGAATGTCTGCTATTTGTAGGGATTGGTCTGGAAAAGTGTTGCAGGGTTTTGAATCCAGCTTCCCTCTGAAATGCAGAAGCTGTAATTCAGATCAGCTGTGAAATGGGCGGCCATTTTAAACAACGCTGAGCCTTTTATTAATATTACTTATGATGTGTGAAAATAATCAGTTTGATATTTCTGGAAGGAGAAAGCTGTTTCATCTGCTGCTGCAGATATTTTCCCCTGCATCTCTTAAATAATCTGTTTACATGATGTTTCTGCAGAAGCAGGTTCCTTTTGATTGACGTGTCATGGAGGTACGCATTATCTCCCCTCCTCTACCTCAGGGTGACAGTGCAGATCGCACCCTGCCAGGCTCACAGCTTCAACCCTTTATTACCACCTCGCTAGGCCCTCACCGCTCTGATCCTGCACTCTGGGGGAGAAGATAAGCAGGGGGGGCAGGGGAGCGTGCGGCGGGAGAAACAGGGTTGCAGCAGAGCTGGAAGAGTGGGACAAAAAACGGGAGGAGCACAGAAAGAGGGATGGAGGGAGAGGAGGGATGGAGGGAGAGGAGAACACAGAGAAAGAGGGATGGAGGGAGAGGAGGGATGGAGGGAGAGGAGGGATGGAGGGAGAGGAGGGATGGAGGGAGAGGAGGGATGGAGGGAGAGGAGAACAGAGAAAGAGGGATGGAGGGAGAGGAGCAGAGGAAAGTGAACAGTGGGAGGAGGGGAGAGAAATCACAACATCACGGTTGATAAGTTTATCTAGCCAGGCTTCAAATTAAATATGAGATTAGGTTGAATGTTGAATGAACAAATTCCATTACATTATGGGGTGATTATGTAGGACTATCCCATATATTAAACAAACAAGACCGCCGCCATGTCTGAGCATCAGCATCGTCTGAGACTCCAAAACAGGAGGCGCAGCTTTTTGCTCGCTAAGTTAAATTTGCTCAAATAGCACAGTAGCTGTTTGAAGAGGCAACATCATTATGTGGAGGTAATAGCATGTGGGAAAATAATGAAGACCGCTGGGATTTTACTAAATCTCTTAAGCAGCAGTTTATGCTAGTTTTATTTAGGTAGATGTCTTCCTGTTTGCATAAGAGAGCATCTTCACACAGCTGGTCCAGATTCCTCTGTTAGTTCAGGCTTTTTATTTCTGCATCAAACAATGTCTGGAAAGGTTAGAAACTTAAAACTTTTCTAGACCTGCTTTTACCAGACCTGCTACTCGTCATATAAATGTGGGATGTGGAAACGAGCATCGCATGAATTAGCTGCATCTGTTCTAATATATCAGACTAAACCTGCAAGGCCTCATCTTTTACCCAGTCACTACCTTCACAGTTATGGAAACTTTATTATTCTCCTTACTGTATTTGTCCTTGGCTGGAAAAGATGCCGGACTTTTCACCGACTTTAGCGGCTCGTTTAGCCCTTTGCTCCAGATCTTTATGCTAAAAATGTCTGCATCATTTTTTCTGACTAAATGCTGAATGAATGAATATTGGAGATGAAAGCTGGACTTTTCGATTCACTTTACAAACTAGAGCTTTACAATCACAATCAGCTCCTGTAATTGGTTCAAATTAGAAGAAACATCCAGAAAAACAACAAAGTCAAGCAGACATCTGAGCAAACGTGTGCGTGTGACGGCCAGTGTTTGCTCGTGTGTAGCGGGCGCTGCAGACAGTAACTGAGAGGCGATCAATGAGTTGATGTGAGCTCTGGAGACGGCCCGGCCTCAGCCACAGCAAAACTCTGCAGTCAGCAATCTCTCCTGTACTTCTTCACCAATTCCCTCCTTCTTTGAACCTTTAATGACTAAAATACAGTTCAGTTAAATATAACACTGCTTTTATTGTCTGCATAGAAAAAATCTTTCTATATTTCTGTCTTGATGAGAATAATTCAGTCTGTAAAATGTTTCCTTTTGTTGCTCATTTATTATTCTTAATAGCGAAACGTATTCTTCGCTTCTTTTTTCTCGACGTTATTTGGATCAAAGACAGTAAACCTTGGTTTTGTTGACCAAAGGTCCAAAGGTTTCTAAATTGTTTTCTTTTTTAATAATATGAAAATAAAGCTTCTAGTTGAGTGATTAATATTAGTAAGTGACCCAAATAATAAATCCATTATAGTGTAAAAGACAGAACATGTGGAGGGAGGAAATGGTTTGGTGGATAGAAAAGCGACCTTTCAAATTAAAAGACTTGATTCTGATCATCAGACAGAATAGTGCTAAAAGCTGAGCAGCCATTCTCTAAGGATTGCTGTAATCCAATAACAAACTCTGGGATTGGTACAGATACGTTTAAAAGCTCATTTTTATTCCCTTCAGTTCTATTCAGTTTATTTCTATAGCTCCAATTCACATCATGTCATCTCAGGTCACTTTATAGATCCAGATCAACCAGATCATCCAGTCAGATTGATTCAAAGTTTTCTATCTAAGGAAAACCAGCTGATTGCATCGACTCATTGACTCTTCAGCAATCCCTCACACTAAGCATGCTTGTAGCGACAGTGGAGAGGAAAAACTCCCTTTGAACAGGAAGAAACCTCCAGCAGAACCAGGCTCAGTGTGAGCGGCCATCTGCTGAGGCCCACTGGGGTTCAAGGAGACAGAAGCAGACATAGAAAAAGAAGCATAGATACAAAATCCTTATTCAATGATTAAATAAAATCGATGGATTTCTTTTTATTGTTTTATTTTGATCAGAAAAAAGGAAATGATTGTCTGAATTTCCAGGTGAATGAATAATTTGGAGTCCTTTTCAGGTGGGATGGCAGCTGAAGAACCTGGTGAACGCTCTGAGAGAAGATCCCTGTGGAGTCATTCTGACGCTGAAGAAACGGCCCCAGAACACCCTGAGCTCCACGCCAGCTCTGCTCAGGAACGTCCGCTGGAAACCGCTGGGTCTGCAGGTAAACCAGCACTTCCACACGTTTTCCAAACCTCATTAATCAGAAAAATCCTTGTTTTCAGATGGAAACTCTTTTACTTTCTTTCTTTCATCTGCTGAGAGCTGCTGATTGCTGAACAAGACTATTCTTAGAGAGATATTTCTAGTTACATTTAGTCATTAGAATAGTGCAACATGAGCTGAACTTTATGATGAAATGACAGTAATCACTGCTTTGTGAGCTGAGCTGGAAACCCAACTCTAAAAGTCTGATTAGTTCCTACCGTTAGCATTTCTATCCTCAGAATTAAACATGAAGGAGGAGACCTATGCAGAGTTCAATATGACCTGCCATCATGTTTAACGATTTCTTTCAGCTTTTATCATCATTCCAGTGTCACAAGTACAGAGCAACAACATTCAGTCTCTGCATTTAACCCCTCCCCTTGAGGAGCAGTGGGCAGAGCAGTGTGGGGTTAAGGGTCCTGCTCAGGGACCCAGAGTGGCAGTCTGTGGGAGTGGGGTTCAAACTCAGAACCTCTGGATTCCAAGCTCTATGCTGTAACCACTGGACCAGCCCTCCCCTATGAGCCTTTAATTCAGTTTCCAGCATGATATCAGACTGACTGAGGGAACCGAGCTGATTGCTCATTGACTTTGCAGAGCCTGGTTAAGCATGCAGCAACAGTGGAGAGAAAAACATCTAATCTAACATTCTAAAAGGACCTGCATTAGAACCAGGATCAGTGTGAGCGGCTCTGGGTGAAGAAACATTTATAACGGAAACCTTTTCTCTGGGCAAAGAAGACATCACCAACCACTGGTTTTACTGTTGGGCCAGTTTATTTAGGGAGACAGACTGGTTTAGTTTACGGCTATACCTGAGGAAAATATGTGCAACTATTCACCACCACCTCCCATTGCCTGGTTCTACTCCGCTCTTTTGTTTCCATCACTGTTTTTCCTGTTTTATTAGCGGTGCTTTTCTTGGTCCTGCTCATCTCTGCTCATAGGACCAGAGGGGCAGCAGCTGTAAGGAAAAACCTGGTAAATTAGGATTTAGTCAGAAGTTTAGTTAAAGGACAAAAAAAGGTCAGGTCATAAATATCACTCAGGGAGGGTCTGTGCACCAACAGTAGAGATGTTTTAAACATCTTATTTACAGCCACAGGGTTTCATTCTCCTAAGTTTGGTTCTCAAATCACCTCCAATGTTTGCTTTTAGTTAAAGTAAAGATGAAGTGTTTCAGGTCTAAAGCTAACTTCACTGAAGCATTTTTTAGAATCCATCTATTGCTGATTTCTTCCGTTTGTGGTGCACAGAAAGAGCAGGCTGGGGTGAGACGGATAAAGGGGTGAGATGAGGGTGACTCTGCCTTGATGCTGTGTGAAGAGCTGACTGTCTTGTCAGCCTCCTGTGTTCCACGGTGGCTATTTTTAACTTTGCATCATCAGACCAGTTCATTTACATGCTACTTCCACGCTTTGATCTCTGCTCATCAGAGCACAGCTGCTCCTTTTCTCTGGCTCTATGTTAACCCTTGGCTTCTTTAAATAAGCTGCTTCTTGTTTCCATTTTGTTATCCTTGACTTTACTTCCTTCCAGGAGTCTGTTGTTCTATTTGTTGTGTGGAAGAACAGAGGATTGGGGCAATGTCTCCCTGACAGACCGTTATGACGCAAACGCGCCACGAGCGTCCAGATAGGAGCTCAGAGACATCTGCTGTAGAAGAAAAGAAAGCCGTGTTTTAGATTCTGTTCTCTCTCAGAAAGACTAGAGCTTTTAATAATTCATAAGCAACAACATGCAGCTCCACTGGCTCTGAAACAAGAGCCACTACTCAGCAAATACTGGAGATAATTCCCTGAATCTAAAATATCTTCTAACAGCTTGTTTTAGAGAATATTTGTGTGTGTGCTTATAAAAGTGGAGCTGTATGGAGACGGACTGACATGCTGTCGTTCACGCTTGGCCTCGTGTCTCTGTATGCGTGTTCATGCTTTGTGCATGTATGCAGAGAAATATTTTTCCATCCCGTTTCTTTTTTTTTTTTAGCCCTGATTGCTCCTTTGAAAGAAGTAGGTCACCACTTTCTGTGCGGTTGTTTGATTGGATTCTCCCTGCGCTCTCAAAACAAACACCCACTGAAAACACATGTGCACTTTAAGCCCAGTTCTGCTGAGCGGCGTGCTCGGCTGGGACATTTCAGCAAAAAAAGTGGCAAACATTCAGGCGGATTAAATCTAAATCTGCAAAGGAAACAATTTATCTCTGCACATTATCATGTGGATTTATCCAAAGTCATCTAACTGGAAGCCCAAGGTAGGATGGGATAAAAGCTATTTAATAATCCATCGTAATTACAGCCATGATTTGAGTAAAGAGAATGAAGATCAGTGTGATGATGCACATTACAGGCATGACTGCCTGCTGCTGTGCAAAAAACCTACAAGCTCCCAGTTATCAGAAGGTGAATCCATTCCTCAGATTCCGCCCATTGGCTCCTAAATTATAACATTTGCTATTTTAGGCTCAATACATTTCTGCTTATTGCTCTCTTTCATAATTGCGGCAAAACAGTCATCTTGTCTATTTTGGGTGACTAATCTTTAAATGCTGCAACTTTAATATCCATAACTTTATTCCAAACATAATAGCGTGTTTATCCTGGTAAATCGTCATAAGTTGAATTAGGGAGTAGTAACAAATAAGACATTTAAGAAACCGGTTTAGATAAAGGAATCTAAAACCTTCTGTGATTAAATGTGTTAATCAATAAATCCGTTTTACAATTAGACACAGAAAAGTAAACAAACACTTATCAGATTATGGTTTTATTTATTAAATGGAAAATGCTTTAAAAGCTAATGTGATCCCTACAAAATCAACCTGCTGGGATTAGTGTCTCAGAAACAGCAACAAACACTGAGAACTATTATCCACAAACTGGAGCGAGAACAGAATGAGTGGTGATCTATTGGTTAGTCTATAGAGCTATGAATCTAGAGGTTCAAGCCCCACTCCCACAGACTGCCACTGAGCAAGATCCCCACATATGGATCCTTATTTATACCTAAAAACAATAAAACCCCTCCCTCCTGCCATCTTCCAGCAGTGACGTCACGGTGCGGTAAGCCTAGCGCCATTCTCCCCGCTTTCCAAGCTAAATCAATGGGAACTACTAGACACATCTGCAATCAACAACAATTATTGAAGATTTCCAGAGGACTTCACCATTGAAATTCACCAGAGCTATAGTGAAACTGACAATGCCCACGTGCATGGCAGCTGGATGCTGGAATACATCGGGGAAAAGTGGAAAAAAGAGTTATTCCACCTTTCTGATTCCTGATCCTCCACGGACGGGTTGGTCGTTGGATCGCCAACTTGAAGAGGGAGGATTTGCCATCGAACTTCTGGCCAGAGAAAAAACCCGTAATATGTAGCCAACATTTGGAAGAAGAATGTTTTCCAGATGACTTGGATAATAGCGCGTTGTGACAAACACCAGATACAGCACTGGGACTTGATCAACAGCCGATACCGCAACGTGACGTCACTAACCAGTAGGTGGCAGTAGTGTTCTTTGACAAACATGGATGCCTCCAGTAAAGCACATTCACATGAAAATTACTCTGAATTAAAAACACTGATCATTTATTGAACAGGATGGAATCATTTCAGATTTAAAGAACTTTCAGAAGTTTGGATTCTGAATATGAGCGACTTCTCCTTTAAAGGTTAATAATAGCATAAAGGAGGGTTTAAACCCCAATACTATTCATAACCAAAGAGAACAAAAATAACTTACATTTAGAGAAAAATAATTACATTTAAATAACCATGAAGACTTTTGGGAAAATAAGCTTTGACTCTGATTTATTTTTACATTTTTAGGAATTGTCTTTCTTATTCCCATAGTAACTTTATGTTATTTAATGTTTGTTTTTGCCTGAACACACGTCCAAAAGGGTGGAAGTGAAATTTAAACTCAAATCCTGATCAAAGAATTAACTCTGCATTTGGAATAAATTTACACCAACTTTAATTCAAAATTCAATAATTCATTAGGAAAAATCTTCCAACTTCAAGTCAAACATATTTCTGTTAACAACTTTTAAATATTGAAACTTGCCTTAACTAAGCTTCTCACAGAAAATGGTTTTAAAAACCACAATCAATTAAAAAAGCAATGATATCATAGATTAGCATGGATTTTATGTCTAAGAACCAAAGTTTATCTTAAAGAGTTGGAATGAGGTTAAATTAGATTTTGCCAAAAGTAGAGAAATTGGAATTGGCCTTCAAATCAATTAACAGAACAGTTCCCAATTAAAACGTATTATTATTATTGCTGTTTAATGCAAATCAGATATTCTTTATTGTCATACTAGTGTTTAAGCCTTTATTAAAATAAAGTTTGTCTGAACCTTATAAGCATGAGCTACAAAACATTTCAGCACCAATCAGTCACTATTCACTTCTTGTCAGTTTGCTTTAAACAACAGCTAAAAACATGAAATCATCAGAAATCACCAAAAACCCAAATTGTTTTGCTGGAAACCTTTTCAACTTCTGAGCTCCATAGCTTAGCCGCCCGTAGCTTAGCCGCCCGTAGCTTAGCCGCCCGTAGCTTAGCATAGCAGCCCATAGCTTAGCAGCCCGTAGCTTAGCCGCCCGTAGCTTAGCATAGCAGCCCATAGCTTAGCAGCCCGTAGCTTAGCCGCCCGTAGCTTAGCATAGCAGCCCATAGCTTAGCAGCCCGTAGCTTAGCCGCCCGTAGCTTAGCATAGCAGCCCATAGCATAGCAGCCCGTAGCTTAGCAGCCCGTAGCTTAGCAGCCCGTAGCTTAGCAGCCCGTAGCTTAGCCGCCCGTAGCTTAGCCGCCCGTAGCTTAGCCGCCGCTGTCTGTGGCCTCGCTGGATGGCCTGGGTGGAGACTAGCTGTATCCTACTACTTCCAGTCCTACCAGTCAGGCTCTGACCTACATCTTTACTATTATTCTGTGCTCATATCTTTAAGAGCTCTGATTGGTTTTCACGGTTGTGTGGGCGTGGCCTCTTAAGGCCAGATGTGGAAAGTCAAAACGGCTCATATAGAGGAGGGCTGAACAAGGAGATTTTTGCTAAAGGCATTCTGCCTAAACTCAGAGGAGTTTTCTTCCACAAACTTCCTCTGGGGGGTTTATTGTTAATAATTTTTAATCATCAAATGTAGAATATTAAGGGCCCTTTAAAGGTTTTATGCTTTCAGGTTTGTATAATAAAGTGTCTGTATTTGTTGTAGTGGATCCATCTGTGTGTGTGGGAACTGTCCATGGTGCTGAGTAGTAGATCTGGGCACAGCAGGGATCAAATGCTTTAAGTGATGTTTGAACAGACTGGAAGTTCACCTGCTGTGGTAGCCTCATCTGTACAGCTTTCCCCGGGCCCCCTCGGCCCCCCCGTTCCCATGCAGAGACCAGTGGGTTCTAATCACTAAATTACTGTTTTCTCCAGTCACCAAACTGCAAAGCTCACCCGGTGCTCTCTGGCATTCTCTCTCTGTTTTGTTTTTTTTCTTTTCACTTTGGTCTCTTTCCACCTCGTCTTCATTATTTTTGCCAAAGTCGTCTTCCAGGAAGCTGCCTCCAGTAGAGGAAGAGCGCAGCTGAAGGAGGAGGAGAGAGACGAGGGGATAAAGGTTGTGAAGGGGAGCAGAGAGAGAGAGAGGGTGCATAAAGTTTGGAAAGTGAAATGAATGTGATTAATGTGGTGCTGATGAAATAATAAGACAGCGAGCTTCCTTAATGAGAGCGCTGCCTCCTTGGTTTCCTTCTGCTTCTGTTTATCCATTCTGTTCACATCTTCTCCCTAAAATGGTTCTGAATCCTCACACTTACAGCATGAACTCATCTTTCTACGTCTGAAATCGACCACATGATGTAGCATTAGCTGCAGCTGCTGCTCCCAATGAGAACAAAACAAAATCAAAATGTGTTCCTATGGCAGCAGAGGCAGGTATTATAACAGTTAACCAATAAATCAAAGGGTCCTTGAATCAAACAGACACAGGAGACGACAATAACTATCCTGCATCCTCTCCTTCCTTTGTAGTTAAAATAGTAAGGGGTGGGGGGGATGAGCAGAGTACAGGAGGAAGGGGGTTGTCATGGGAACAGACATGAAGAACCCTTTGAGAGTGAAGAGATTTCAGACAAAATGACAGGAAGTGAAGTGATTAAACAGGCTTCACTGATACTGTAGCTTTAAATATAATAATTCTCAGGTTTTGCTTTTTAAGGAGCGATTGCTGCAAATTCAGAGACTTGATGGAATCAGCTGGGTCCCCTTAGCTAAAAAAATAAGGAAATGGAGAGTGATCTAAAGCTGTGTTCAACTCTATATGTTCAATTTCAAATCTGTCTGCATGACTAGAATCATTTTAGAGTACAATGATATATATATGTATATATATATAGTTCAACCAGCAGCTTTTCTCTCTGTGGATATGATTTCCAATGGTGTGTTTATGCCACACAAAGCGTTTAATTAAGTTCCTCAAGTGTCACCTTGCATCTCTCACCCAGTCTGCCAAAGCTGGGGTTTAGATGAACAGCACTTATTCCCTCAGATGTTTGGTTGATGAAAAGCAAACTGGATCCAATCATTTCCTGGACTTTAATGTTATAAAAATGTGCAAGATTGATTTATTTCCCTCATTCCATAAAAAGTCTACATCTCTGGACGTATGCGGGCATTAGCTGCAGCCGAGCCCATCAGATTAAACCGTTTTTTTCTGAAAAAACAAACCTAGCTGCTTTTTCTGGGTACATGAACTTCAAAGTACTCAACAAAAAACAAAAATTAACAAGAACCAAGAAGAGGAAGAGAGTAAAAGACGGAGAGCGGCTCAGCCAACTTTAGCTGCACTGGTTTCATCATCTGAGACAAATACAGATTTACAAAAGATCACATAATCATTTATTTACATTTAACATATTATTGAACTTTGTTATATAAAAAATACTTGAAAGGGCTTAAAATCTGAAGTTTTAGACTTAAATTAAAACTGTTTGCTTGAGGCTGGATTATTGGACCTAGAACTATTGGAGATGCAGAACAATGAGTTGGTCTCAGCTTTGGCTGAAAGGGGGGGGGGGGGGGGGGGGGGGGGGGGCGGTGTCCTAGTGGCTAGGCTTAGAGTTTGGAGGTTAGGACTTTGGGCCCCACTCCCACAGACTGACACTTTGGGTCCCTGAGCAAGACCCTTAACCCCACCCTGCTCCCCGGGCGACACACCATGGCAGCCCACTGCTCCCCAAGGGGAGGGGTTAAATGCAGAGAGGGAATTTCTCCAGTGTGAGATTAATAAAGTTCAACTATTATTCAACTTTACTTTCTACCATCGGATCATAAAGTTCCAGTAAAATGCTTTTTATCTCTGGTTGTAACGTGTTATAAATATTCTTCATTATGAAAAGATGGTAAAAGCCTTTTCTCTTTTTCAGCCCATCCCAACCAGCCCCACCAGCACGTCCCCCACACCAGGAGGAACCCTAGGCATGTCCAAAATGGACGCCCCCAGCATGCAGGACGTCTACATCCTCTCTCCCGTCTCTGGACTCTACAGCACCAGGTCAGGTCATGCGGAGAGGTTGTGATGACGCCCATTATCCTGATTATTTCCATGCTGCTGGTGATGAGGGTGCTGATGTTGATGACAGCCATAATGACAACTCTGTTCTCTGTAGGGAGGAAATGGGCCTCATGTCGTGTGATGACATCGGTCGCTACAGCGTTAGCTCCCAGTCTGGGTCTAAGGGTTCAGAGGCCATTAGCTACTACCTAGACCAGGACAGCGGTCAGTACTTCTCTCTGCTAGAGGGGGACGGACCGTCTGGGCCGGACTACGACAGAGGCCGCAACACCGGCGTCCGGCGGAGGGACAAAACTCCAACACATGGTGAGGCGGATTACAGGATCCCAGCGTGAAATGGAGCAAGAACATCTCTGGCACTGCGCCTCATCAGCCGACTGCATGTTCACTGCCGCCGCGGCTCCCATCCCGCGTCATTTCCATCATTTTCTCCTCCTCACTGGCTTCGTCGCTGCGCTGTATTCTGTCTTCCTCTGGCACACACACACACACACACACACACACACACACACACACACACACACACACACACACACACACACACACACAGTTACACGCCTTAAATAGAGCATCTAAAGATACTCCAGCTCCCTGTCTGCTCCACCACCTGTGTCCACCTTTTTCCCTCGACACCTTCCAAAGCAAGCTGTAACGCACCTGTCTGCCAATGCACCATGGGACTACAGCACCATATGATGTGCAAGACAAAGGTCACTGAATCTAAACAACCAGCCGCGTTCCTTCATGAATATATACGGCCGCTGGAAGTACTTTAGATCGGGGGGGCTGGGAATTAGTTTTATTGTTTTGGACAAAAGACCTATGAGCCTATAGGCCTATTTAAAATACAATAAATAAGAATAAATAAATAAAGATTCACTACTTTGTTGTCATATACAGGTCAGTGCACCAACCAGGGTCTGCAACACACAGATTTCATCAATCACATTAATCAGCTCTCAGGTGAATATATGCTCAGATAATTAAACGTCACAGTAAAACATTTGCAACCATCTAGCAAACCAAGCCAGAGCTGCAGAGATCATTTCATTACCTTAACGCCCTGCAGCACATTAGAAACTGGATGTTGGCTGGAAGGGCTAATTTTATCACGCTAGGTTGGGTTGCAGGTGCAACTGGCATCAGAGGCGGGCGGACAGTCTCCTCCCTCCGGCCGCTCTCTCCGTCGTACCAGAGTTCTTCTTCACTGCTGCTGGTTTTTCTGTCATTAGACCATTTAAATGAACTAGCCTGCTGCCTCCGGCGGGACACCTCTTTACTCAGGGACCACTAGCTTGCTTCATGTTGCCATGACAACGTACCTTCTGTGAACTTGTGTTGATTAGGCCTCATAATAAATAAATTAAAATCCAAATACACGTAATAGTAAAATAAAAATTAAAATTAATTTCCCAAAATATTCATTAGAAACTTTTAAATTGTGTATTTTAATACGTTAAAAAAACTCTCCCTCTCGCCACTAGGGGCGCTGCAGCAGCCCCACTTCCCCGCGGCCATGACTACCATCATCGGACGAGGAGTTCTGATGAATGTCTGAATGTCTGAGATGAATTCAGGCTAATTAAATGGATCCGAAGCAGCTAGAGAACATTTTGTGTTTTACAGTTAGTGTCTGAAGTTAGTGTCTGAAAAAACAGCAGCAGTTCAGAGGCTCGTTGATCCCACGATGCTTCTCCGTCTGCAGCTGCATCCACCTCCCTTTAGTAAAAAACTAATGTGGATCCTGACCTTTCACCCCGTTCTAGTAGATTTAAAGCTTAAAGTTCTGCTTTGACTTTGATCTGAGGAGATTTAGCAGAAATGAGCAGAGCAGCTTCTTTAGCGAAACAATAACTGGATTTTATGCTAAGAAAAGCAGGAATCTGTTTCTTCATGTTCAAAGTTCAGTGACACTTTGGTCAACCTGAAAAACATCAAAGAAAGAGGTTTTAGTTATTTTGAATTTTTTAAATCTTTATTCTTATTCTTATTGTGAAAGTTATTTTCCCCCAAGAACACTACATCCAGATGTTAGATTTTTCTTTACTTCTAGAATAAAATAATGAATATTTGATCAGGCTATTAATTAACCGCCCATTATGTCCATTTATATTAATACAGCCTCATTACAGTCATTCTGTTGAAAAGAAATAAATGTTGAGCAAATATAAAAAACATTAAACCAAAGATTTTCCCAGAAGGTTTAGGGCTTCAGGTGAAGCAGTTTCCAGTTGTAGAAGTCCTTTACCAGTTCTGCCCCACCTGCACAAACCCCCTCTGTGTCTCACCCGTCCTCCCCCCTAGCCTTCACCCGCTCCGTCTGTCAGCCAGACTCTGATTGCTGATTGGTGCTTCCAGGTGATCTCAGACCTGTTTCCATGCCTCCTGAATATAACTGGATGGCCGAGGCCAAGGAACCCAGCATGGGAAAGAGAGGGAGCAGAGGTACACACAAACACACTCAAATATGAGATCAGCACCTTTAGTTATAAATATTCAACTTAAACAAATGACAGGAAAATACAGCATGTGATCCTCCTAATGCTGTGGGATCCAAGTGTTGCCATGCTTTGCTTCATACTCAGCCCAACGCATCTCAGCTCATCCTCTGGTTTATCCATGGTGGCTCCCTTACAGATACATGACCCACCTGCTCTGTATCTAGAAATCAACTATTAGACATAAATGTGAGGAAATTGTTTTGATCCGCTGGCTGTGGAAGGAGAACGTGACCGATTCTAAGCAGTGAGGCTGGATCTGTATTCAGCTGAGGATCCTCCGCTCTACCAGCAGAAGGTCTATGAATAATATTAAAGTACAGTCCTCATGTATGAGCCTGGCCGGTCCTCCTCTTTGGCTCTTCCTGGCTGTTACTTTTAAATTCAGGGACAGAAAACAAATGACTTAAGATGTTTTATCTAACTGGAGTTTTTTTCACAGATGCGTTTTAGCAATAGACTTTTTTAAATCAACATAATTATTACAAACTGATGCTAGATGTGTCCCAGCTGTGATCGGCTCTTCCTGCTCTTTGCTTTGGTTTTTATCTGTGAAGCGTTCAGACTCAGCTGCTCTTTCTGTGCCATAGACGCCGTCTCTTCTTCCCTCCATCCATTTCTCTGAGCCACACCATCCTCCAGTAACCATGACAACCCTTGTCTCTTCATTTCCCACAGATTCTGACAATTCATTGCTTCGATACCTCAGCGATGACAAGATCCTGGTCATCGAGGAGGAGCCTGATGGTCCGGGCAGGGAGAGCCCGGGGGGTCCCCCGCCCAAAAGGCCCTTTCCCGCAGCCCCAGCTTTCCCCCCCCCTCCTTTTTCACCTCGGTGGCCGCGGAGGCCCGGGTCTTTTGGGGGGCCCGGGGTGGGTGGGTTGCCGTGGGGATCTCCCAAATTCCCACACCCTTCCAACTCCCCCCATTTTCCCCCCCAAACCTAAAAATTTTAAAAAAACCCCCCCCAAAAACCAACCAATTAAAAATTATTAAAAAAAAAAATAAAAATTATTTTATATTAAAAATAAAATTTATATATAAAAAAAAATCAAATTAAAACCCACCCATTAAAAAAAAAAAATTATCATAAAAATTTTAAATAATTCCCCCTCATTCCCCTATTAATAATTTTAAAACCCCTTATAAAATATCCAAAATCCCCCATTAAAACATATTTCCCCTAAAAAGGGGGTTTTTTAATTACCCTTTAAATTTTCCCCCCCAAAAGGGATTAAATATAATTACCTTCCTTTTAAAATTACCCCAAAAAATTACCCTAATTATTTTTAAAAATCACCAATTAATATAAAAATTTTTAAAAAATCCCCCCATTTTAAAAACAAATTTTCCCAAACCCCTTTAACCCCAAACAAAACCCCCTTTAAATATTTCCCCCAAAATTTTATAAAAATTAAAATTTTTTAAAAATTCCCCAAATTAATAAAAAAAATATTAAAAAATATATCATATTCCCCTTAATCATTATTAAAAACCCTTTTAAAATAAAATATTTTAAAATTTATTAAAATTTTCCCAAAAATTTAAAAAAATTTTTAAATATAACCCCAAAAATTCCCCCAAAACCCCCCTTAATCAATATTAAAAATTATTAATCTTTAAAAATATCCTTAAATATAAAAACCCTATTTATATATTTAAAAACTTTCCCCAAAATTTTATCCTTTTTTATCCCCATATTCAAAACCCCCTAAAAATATATTTTGGCCCCTCCCAATATCCCCTTTTATCTTAAAAATTTATCCCTTATCTTTAATTTATATTTATTCACCCTTATTTCCTCCCAAAATCCCCCCAATAAATTCAAATATTTATCCCTTTTCCCCCATCCTATTAAATAAAAAATATTCCCCTAATACTCTTATTCCCCCCTCCTTAAATTTATTTTAACCTATTTCCCCCCCTTTACCTATTTTTAAAAATACATCAATTTATCCAGAATCCTGTCCTACGCCAAAAGCTACCAAACATCCACACTCCTACACCCCTCATTCTTTCTCCACCTAAATCCCAGCATGGGCCTCCTATTTTCTCAACATCAGACATCACATCCAAAACACCTTTATTACCATGCATATATCATTCAAATTCCATCCTGAAACCATCATCCATCATCCCACTCCTTCCATCCCTCATCATCCATACTCCATCCATAACATCCATCCATCACTAAATCCCTTCCCCTTATATCCAACATATCATCCATACCATCCTATAAACCCTTTCCCTCCTAACCATATCCATTCACATCCCTCATTCCCATATCGATAATCCACATACATCCATATATCCTATTCATCCATCCCTCCAAACATCCATTCATCCATCCCAAACCCCTCATATCATATACCATCCATTATCCATCCATATTCCCCTCCATCATCTCATCTATCATCATATCCATCATCACATCCACCATCTTTCCCATCCTATCCTCATCCATCCATTCATCAACCATCCATCATCATCATATCAAAACATCCTCATATCCTACCATCATCCATCCATAATATAAATATAATTCAATATCATCCATCCATCCATAAACCATTTATCCACTCATCCATCATTTTCCATCATCCAATTTCCCTCATCCTCCCATTCATCCTATCCCTCACCTTACCCCATCTCCATAAACCATTCCATCATCCATCATCCATTTAAACCACCATCATCCAATCCATTCATCCATCATCCCCAAATTCATCACCAATCATCATCATCAATCCATTCATCCATCCAAACCATGCAAACCATCATTCATACCATCATCCATATCCATCTTCACCATCATCCACATAGCCAATATCTTCATCCATATTTATCCACCAAATCTCCATCATCATCTCAACCTCAACCATCCAGCCATCCACCAACCATATCCCCGAACCACCCTCCATCACCCGGGGGGGGGCACCCCCCCCCCCCCCCCTAAAAAAAAAAAAAACCCCCCTCCATCCATCATCCATATCATCCTCAAATCCATCCATCATACCTAATCCATCCATCATCCAAACCTCTCATCATCATCCATCCAACTACTCATCCTCATCATCCTCATCCATCCTTCATCAATCCATCATCCATCCATATCCATCAATCCATATCATCCATCCATATCCATCTCAACCATCACATTTTCCCCTCATCCCTGCCCTCAACCATCATATTACGAACACCATGTAAACTTATCCATCCAAACTCATCACTCATCCATCTCCATCCCATCCCTCATCCATCATCACATCCCACCATCATCCAATCCATCCATCCAGCATCATCCACCAAAATCCATCATCATCCTCCATTGCCAACATATAAACCACATCCATCCCCCTACATTATTCCATCCATCCCATCCATCATCAATCCATCATCATCATCCAAATCCATCAATATCCATCATCCATCCAACATATCCCTCCATCCAATCCATCATCATCATCATCCAAAATCATCACCATTTCACCATCATCCATCCCTCCAACATCATCATCATCCATATCCATCCACCATCATCACCCATCCATCTCCATCCATTCCATCCCTCCATCATCCATCATCCATCCATCATCCCTCCATCCATCCATCCTTTCCATCATCCATCCATCCATCATCCATCCTCTCCCTACCATCCATCAAATTTCCCTTTCCCTCCATCATCCATCCCACCTCCAACATCCATCCATCTCATCCATCTCTCCATCCATCCATCAACCATCCATCATCCATCCATCATCCATCCTCTCATCCAATCCAATCATCCATCCCATCATCCCCATCATCCATTCCCTCATCCATCCATCATCCTCATCCATCCCTCCATCCATCACCCCTCCAATTTCCCTCCATCCACCCTCCATCCATCCAACCCCTCCCTCATCATCCATCATCCATCCCCTATCCCCTCATCCACATCCATCCATTTCCTCATTCCATCCCATCACCATCCATCACCCATTCCATCATCTCCCTCCACTATCATCCATCATCCATCCCCATCCCTACCATCATCATCCATCATCCCCATTCATCCATCATCATCCATCCATCCATCCTCACCATCATCCATCCATCCATCTCCATCATCCCCTCCCTCATCCATCCCATCCATCAATCCTTACTTCCTATACACCAAAATTTTAATCTTCCATTCCATCTCCTCCCTTCTTCATCTTTCCTACTTGTAAAATTCATGATCTCCATTCCAATCATCCTATAAAATCATTATATTAACAATCACCTCTCCCAAAATACCAATATTCATCATCTCAATCACATATTCCATATTCCCTTAAATTCCAACATCATAACCTCATCTCTAAAAATTTTCATCCCTCCATTTATTCATCCATCATCCAACATTATTACCATTCCTTCATTTCAACATCCTATCCATTTATCCATCATCCAAATCATTTCTCCACACACATTCCAAATACCTCCATCATTACCATCAAATATCAAATTTTCCCAAAAAATTATCCAACATATCCACATCAAATCATCATCCCCCACCATTCTACATCCATATAAATTTTATCTTTTCCCTCCTCATCTATCCATCCCTATACCATTTATCCATCCCCATTAATCCTTCCTAAACATCAAACATATTCACCATCTCCTTCACACATGGAATCCTCATCCCCCTCAACATCCATATCCAAATTTCCATCCATCAATATAAACGATTAATTTCATCAATCTCATCCATTCCTCATTCCATCCTATCCAACCTACCTGAAATTGGGATGAGTCACCATATCCATATATCAATTTTCATTCCTATGCATATTTTGCTTTTCCTTGGGAAAGGCCGGTTGGGCCTGGGGGTTTTTTCCAGCTTTAGGGTGGGGGGGATCGCCCCACAGGGATATTTTATTATAATTAGTTTGAGCATCATACCATCCAGTGCTGAGCAAATGCTTTATAGAACCACATCCTGATGGGGTTACAGCTGCCAGTCTTTGCTAAATAAAAACAGATATTTCTCCATATTCTTTATTGCTAAATACAAGCGGAGTCAAATTTAAATGGATTGAAATGGTTTCCAGTTCTCAGTGTGGTTTATTATCGGACTTTCTAACACATGAATGTGATGGATTCTTTATTTTCAGCAAAGGTTCAGAGTCATTTCCTTTATTTCAGATGTGAGTGTTTTTCTTTAGCTGTGAGCACAAAATGCTCCAGATGTTTAACCAAATTTATTCAATATGTAGATACAGGAGTGATTTTCAGAAAGTTTCTTAAATGTTTTGTTTGTCCAACAGGTTTATAAAAGAGCATCTAATGCTGTTCTTAAATGTTCTGAATCATCAACCTTTGTTCATCCTTCATGGAGACAAATGTGTTTAAACTTTTGCTGTCTGTTCAGAGCGGAGTCCTGCTGGGAGCGGAGCTTTCTATCCATCTACCCATTAACTCTTTACCTGCTAAAGAAAAGCATTCCACAGCATGATGCTGCCACCCCCATGTTTTACTGTAAAGAAATGAACAAGGAATTTATGCAGGCAAATAAATAAAATAAACTAGATTATCCCCAAAAAATAAAACAAATACTTAGTTAATTATTAACTAGGAGTAATTGGCTAACACTCAGGTCTTTGATATTTTAGGCTCTGCAGTGTCCTTCTAGCAGCTTTGGTTTGTCATCAGTACAAGAAATGAAGAAGATGAGTTTTGTAAAATACTTCCCATTTACGCTGGTTCTAAGGTGTAGTGAATTTACCAAAGAGAGAAATGAGTTTTTACAGCCTGCTCTTCACACTTGGAAGATTCTTGCTTCATGCCTCAGTTAGCACAGAGAGAAACGTTCCTTCTCAAGCTATAAGAGGTGAGACTAACTGATTTAAGTTATTTCCATCAGAGCTCTCAATCCAGCCTCTCTTCCATGGGCTCCACTCTCTGCTTAAATCCCAAACCTGGAACACTGAGATTATTGCAGACAAACTGAGATATCAGCAGCAGTGATTCAGAATAGAATCAGCCCTTTATGCTGCCATGCTCAGACACTGGGTGGGTAGAAGCTGTAAACCCATTTCTATAATGTTGATGTTGATGGCCAGGCTATTTCTCTAAACTCATCTTTTAACTCTTCACTTTTAAGTTATTTTATACATTCTTCTAAGGTCCATATTTGTGTGACCATATTTTCTAGAATCTTTTTTCTGCTGTAAACACCAGAATTTCCCAATTCTTGGATAATAAAGGGACTTTCTATTCTATTCTATTCTATTCTACTGCACCCTCTGTGGCAGGTGAAGGGAGCAGCAAGACATGCCCCCCCCCCCACCTCTAGCAATAGATTTCATTGTATTTTATTTGTGTTTTTATTGTGAATGTGGCTTTTGTTTAAAAAGCTGTCAAACATCATATTGCTATAAAAGCTCTATAAAACTTTAACCCTCACATCGTTTAGCAATGCCTCACAGCTGATCAGGAAGTAAAATGTAGCAGATAACAAATCTGCAAAGGAAACAAAGCAGTATGTTAGAGGTGCCCTAAAAATGGTATGATCCATTCAGATTTAAAGGAGTCCTTATGATGCAATTTGTTTTTAATTCACCGTGGTTAAGAATATTTACCTAAAGCAGGAATAAGTACGAAAAAAACACCCTAAAATTTACAATGAAGCAGTTTTACTTTGGTGCAGCATGCAGCCTGTGTTTACTTCCTGGTTCCTGAGCCAATCATATGAAAGTTCCCAGGGTTGCTAAAACAGATCATTTGGTATCAGCAGCCTAAAAACATGGAAGCAGGAAGAAAAGCAGACAAGAAATAGTCTCAACAAAAACCTCAGCTTCCTTTAAATGTTTTTACACAGTTTACTTTAGCTGCATGATCTTCACATGCATCTTGAATTTAGCTGCACTTCTCCTCTCTCCTGACTTGGCGACCTGCACCACACTCTGATTGTAAAAACGGAGCTGATCTTTAGATTAAATGATTAGTGTTGTTAAATCAGAGGACAGACTGCAAAACTTTTTTTTTTTCATGTTTGCCTGAATCAGTATATTCTGATAAACAGAGTGGAGGATATATAAATGTGAACATCTACTGCATGCAAGGTAATTTTATACTTATAAACTAATTTTTAGTACTTGTGAAAGTCAGCTACAAACTAACAGAAATATCTTCAGGCATTTTTCTCACAGAGACTTAGACTAATTTTAAATTTCGAAATTTGGTTTCATACAGCTCTCATGACATTTTCATTCCATAAAGTTCAGTAATAATCAAATATGAACAGTGTGGGAGAAAAAACACATTCATCCGGAAGTTTAGAGCATTAATATATAGTATGGTGCAAAGAATGCAGTATTTTAGTTTGGTGTTATCAGTGTGATGCAGAGTCTGGGACAAGATTTACAGTTTAACAGCTCAGCAGTCTGATGGCTGATTCTAATATTTAGTCTAAACTTCTGTGGTGACAATGGATATTGCTGCAAATTGAAATATTTCACTCATTTGTACTGCTTAGAGAAACTACAGCAATTCTATTTATGTAATAGAAATGAAAAAGATGTTATGCTCTGTTGCAGTGATTGTCGTGTTCATAGTCTGGATAGACCTGAGGGTTAGGGTTAGACAATTTGCATGATGCTCATTGCAGCCCGTCGCCAACATGCTTCACCACAGAAACGATCTAGAAATAAAAAAATATATAGTTATAGTTTTACTGAGTAAAAAACAGAATCTGTATTTTTACTCCTAAAATAAGATAATTAGATGATATCCCTTTAAAGTGACAATGCAATATTTTTTTTCTTATTTGAAATGTAAATTGACTTGTTTAATTGGCATAGTGGCTTATTTAGATTTCAAAGTTTTCTTCCTTTCGTCCATAAGTCAAAAGTTTCAGGGTTTTTTTTAGAACCAGTTTTAACTTTTAAGTTTTGAATTCCAGTTCTTTACCAGATCAGGGTGAAAATGGAAGCGTTACAGCATGGCTGCTAGTATCACAGATGAAGGAAGGGGCAGTGGCACCGAGGCATGCCCATTTATAGCTTTCATCTTCTCTCTCAAGTACGAGCCCCCCCCCCCCCCCCCCACAAACACACACATGCACCCCCACACAGCAGTACATTAGCTTGCATGGTATGCGAGTCACAGCTCCTCCTAATATCTTCTAGGACACGCTGGAGTCTAAGCAGGAGTTTATCTTCACACACAAAGAGCTATATCGCTGTGAATAGGTGTATGACTCAGCATCAGCCAGACCAATTAGAGGCACGGCTGACAGTCTGTGCTTTAAACATGCAGCGTGCAAACAGACACGCTAACAGCTCAGCTCCCCAGCCCTTCCTAACCCTCTCAGCGGCGTGTTTCTCATAGCAGTGAGTCATAGTGACTGGACGGCACACAAGGTGTTCTCTTTTTCTCTAACAAGCATATGCTAACCTTAACAACCTGCTTGTGTCCAGGTTTTTTTTTGTTGTTGTCATTTTTTGATATGAATCATGTTTTTGTCCATCAATGTAAAGCAGACAGCTTTACTCAAACCTTGGTCTACTCAACTCAAGCAAACCATCCAGACAAACGAAAAGCTCTGCAGGTTCTAAGCTGTGTGTTTCAAAGTGACTGGATTAGATGATAATGGTTCCCCAGACGTACCGACTAAAAGCATCTTCACTTTCTAATCAGAAATGATCCCAATCATCTCTTCACACTTATGGCTCAGAATGCTCAGTTCCCTGGAGAGCTCCGACCCACTGAGTCTGAGGACGTTCAGTTCAGTTTATTTCACTTTATTTCTATAGCTCCAATTCACATCCTGTCATCTCAGGTCACTTTATAGATCCAGATCAACCAGATCATCCAGTCAGATCGATTTCATGTTTTATATCTAAGGAAAACCAGCCGATTGCATCGACTCATTGACTCTTCAGCAATCCCTCACACTAAGGATGCTTGTAGCGACAGTGGAGAGGAAAAACTCCCTTTGAACAGGAAGAAACCTCCAGCAGAACCAGGCTCAGTGTGAGCGGCCATCTGCTGAGGCCCACTGGGGTTCAAGGAGACAGAAGCAGACATAGAAAAAGAAGCATAGATACAAAAGGCAACTGTCAACCAGCTCCACAGGCGGCCCCGTCCAGGAAACACACAGCCAGGCAGACGAGCTCCGAGCCAGCTCCCATGTCAGAGGATGAAGAGAGCACATCCAGTTAGTCACAGTCAGAGAAACAGGACTACACTGGAAAACAGGCCAAGCTCCAACATCTAGAAACAAAGGTGTTGATGGCAGCAGCACAGCTGATATTTCTCTCCAGGATGGAGTCACAGCCAAACAGGAACAGACCAGATGAAGCTACTATGAGAAAAAGCAGAGAGAGCAGAACGTTAGAGATTGAACTAACAGATTCTGCAGAGTGGGAGAATAGAGATAGAATGAAGCAGAATGATGAAAAAGGGGTCCCTATGTCCTCCAGCAGTCTAAGCCTATAGCAGCAGAACTATAGAGATAGATCAGGATAACCTGAGCCACTCTAACTAGAAGCTTTATCAAAAAGGAAAGTTTTAAGCCTAGCCTTAAAAGTAGACAGGGTGTCTGCCTCACGGACTAAAACTGGTAGTTGGTTCCACAGGAGAGGAGCCTGAGAACTAAAAGATCTGCCTCCCCTTCTACTTTTAGAAATTCTAGGAACCACTAGTAAACCTGCAGATTGAGAGCGAAGTGCTCTGTTAGGAACATAAGGAACAATCAGATCTCTGATATCAGATGGAGCTTGGCCATTTAAGGCTTTATATGTGAGAAGGAGGATTTTAAATTCTATTCTGGATTTAACAGGAAGCCAATGAAGAGAAGCCAGGATAGGAGAGATATGATCTCTCTTTTTCATTTTCATCAGAACTCTGGCTGCAGCATTTTGGATCAGCTGAAGGCTTTTAACTACAGTTTGTGGACTTCCTGATAGTAAAGAATTACAATAGTCCAGGCTTGAAGTAACAAATGCATGGACTAGTTTCTCAGCATCATCCCTGGACAGGAGATTGCTCATTTTTGCAATATTCCTCAGATGAAAGAAGGAAAGAAGGGATTTAGATGACAGTTCCTGATCAAAACTAACAGGATGTTTGGGTCTTCAGCTGAGAAAAACAGAAAATGTAAATGATTGAGAAACTCAGAGAGGATTAGATTAAGGGTTGGCAAAAGATTAGATTTGTGGTGTTACAGAATAATTCTTAACACCAGACTTCAGTAAATTATAGTCATCAGCAAATCAAGCCTGTAATCAGACTAAGAACAGGCTGCTTAGTAAAGGAGCTGTTTCTGATTTGGGGCCAGTGTGTCTGTAGAAATGTAAATAAATACTGAACGACTTTTTCTTTGCTCCTTTTGATTATGGAAATCTTTATTTACTACATGATTATGCAGTAGATGATGTAGTAAACACGTTTACTACATCATCTAAGGAGCACTGGGGACATTTTATTTTTGTCTTGTTTCTTTGCCAAAACGTTAATCACTTTAAAACGGTTTAGGGTTAACTTTATTTTATGTAGGTTTATCCTCCTAGGTTGTTTTTTAGATTGTTTTTTTTTTGCAGACTGAAGCAACAGAAATCTTTGCAAAAGAGCTCAAGCTCAATCAGTTTGTTTCTATAGCTCCAATATTTTGGAGCTATATATATATTTGGATTTAGGGCTACTTCATTTTTCCTTAAACATTTTAGAACATGAGTGTCTGTGAGGTCTTTACGTTAAGGCTTCCTGTCCCTCTGGAAGCTCAACCTTGATCTCCCTCTCTCAGGATTGTTGCTGTATGTTTCAGCATAGCTGGTTTTCCAGCACATTTTAAATGTCGGCCAAAAAGTTCTTTTTGGTCACAAATCTCCTTCCAAATCTTTGAGATTTTCATGGTCAGCCTTGTCTGCACCGCACAACCTGACTGACGGCGTTTCTTTTTCCAACCTGTTGATAAGATGAGATGAATTTATTGTTTTAAAGCATAATTTAGCCTTTATAAGGTTTTTTGTTTTCATTGTCCTGTTTTCTCCTTCATATAAAGACAGTATAAATATAATAATTAAATATCAATAAATAAATAGATGTGAAAGTCCCATGACATAAATAAAACACCGGGTGACTAATTATACAACTAAATGATAAGATGCAAAGCCAAATAATAATATGATTTATAAGATAATGAAATACCTTTAGATTTATTTAATTTCATCAATAAAACTCTTTTTTTAATCATTAACAATCAAAGTTGTAATTATTTCTCTTTATATGTGTTTCCTTGCCTTTCTGCAGTAGTTGGTTACTGGCACGTAATTAAAAGTGCTTCATTCATTCATTCGTGCTTTGATGGTGGCACGCTACGCTGTGGCCACCGCTGGCCTGGGGCTCACTGACAGGAATGTGGCCACCGCTGGCCTGGGGCTCACTGACAGGAGTGTGGCCACCGCTGGCCTGGGGCTTACTGACAGAAGTGTGGCCACCGCTGGCCTGGGGCTTACTGACAGGAGTGTGGCTACCGCTGGCCTGGGGCTCACTGACAGGAGTGTGGCTACCGCTGGCCTGGGGCTTACTGACAGGAGTGTGGCTACCGCTGGCCTGGGGCTCACTGACAGGAGTGTGGCCACCGCTGGCCTGGGGCTCACTGACAGGAGTGTGGCTACCGCTGGCCTGGGGCTTACTGACAGGAGTGTGGCCACCGCTGGCCTGGGGCTCACTGACAGGAGTGTGGCTACCGCTGGCCTGGGGCTTACTGACAGGAGTGTGGCCACCGCTGGCCTGGGGCTCACTGACAGGAGTGTGGCCACCGCTGGCCTGGGGCTCACTGACAGGAGTGTGGCCACCACTGGCCTGGGGCTCACTGACAGGAGTGTGGCCACCACTGGCCTGGGGCTCACTGACAGGAGTGTGGCCACCACTGGCCTGGGGCTCACTGACAGGAGTGTGGCCACCACTGGCCTGGGGCTTACTGACAGGAGTGTGGCCACCGCTGGCCTGGGGCTCACTGACAGGAATGTGGCCACCGCTGGCCTGGGGCTCACTGACAGGAGTGTGGCCACCGCTGGCCTGGGGCTCACTGACAGGAGTGTGGCCACCGCTGGCCTGGGGCTCACTGACAGGAGTGTGGCCACCGCTGGCCTGGGGCTTACTGACAGGAATGTGGCCACCGCTGGCCTGGGGCTTACTGACAGGAGTGTGGCCACCGCTGGCCTGGGGCTCACTGACAGGAGTGTGGCCACCGCACACAGGCGCCGCTGGCCCTCTGACCACCATGATGAGGTCATGCCACAGAGCTGAGGTCATCATGATATTATTTAACTATTAGTCTCATCAAACTCTCCACACAGGAAATCAACGAGCTGCTAATAACAACCCTAACCGTACGGTTGGAACGAAGAACCTGGAGTTGCTCATGCAGCGTTTGAAAAATTAGAAAAATTAATTGGAATCTGTAGGGATGGAATATTTAATGGATGCATTAAACCTTTTTAGTCAACATAAACATTTTCTAATCTAACAATAAAAAAGGTGAAGCTGTTATTCATGAAGACTTTCTCTCTGTTCTCCATCTTACAGCGAGGCGCAGACACACTGCGAGCCGATACGGTGGACAGGTGAGCCTGCTTGTGATTGGTGAAATGTGTGCTCACATGCTCTTGTGTGGTTCAATAAAAACCTTTCAATCCTTGTGCAGATATTCTGGCACAGGAAGCTCAGGAGCCGCCTCCATGAGGAAGGTAGGAGAAGTTAGAGCTGCTTGTTTGTGTTTCATCAATTAAAACATTTTCATCTGAATAGAATAGAATTAATAAAAACAGGTTTTCTTCAGTGCTTTTATATTCTAATTTCCCTTAGCTTATAAAGCAGCACAGATTTAACTTGCATTAACGACCTCCACTGCAACCAAATCAGCGGTTACATGAAGACCCATTCTGTATAAATAATAGCCATGCATGAAAACAGGACGTTTCTTATTCTGTGAGGATGAAATCAAAGCAGGTAAATAGATTTCCTTATTTAGAATATTGTGACTCAGGAGCTGTTTTAGTCACCAACTCAAACATTTTCTCCAAAACATTGTGACCTGGTTTGGTCCTGTTTATAAAATGAAAGGAAACAGCAGAATGTTCTTCTGCCTCAAATAAGAAAGAAAAAGATCAGATGGAGTCTTTTTTTGGTCAAGAAGTAAGACACAAAAATGCTGAAATAATGCAGAGCAAAAATAGTTTTTGTTATTTTAAGAGAGCTAATTTAATTTCTAAAATATGTTGGTTTTAGGATTTAGGACCCTGCTAATAGCTGCTCAACCAAAAATACAGATTGTTCAAAATATAAAAGCCACTGAGATAGAAAGTCACCTCTGCTTTTTCCTGTCTATTAAACATTAATTTTGCAAACATTTTCTCCCCTTTTCCTTTTAGACTTTCCATTACACCTCTTTAAGAACGAAAACCAAAAAGAGAAGTAAAGGTAAGTCCGTTTCTTTATTTAGTAATTAATAAACGTAGACAGCAGACTGCTGATCCGATGTTTCAGGCGGGATCTGTCCCTGACTGTTCGCTGCCATGAGTCACTATAGGCAGAAGGCTTGAAATAATATTAAAAGGACATCAGCTCTGACATCCGCAGCTTTTTTATATTTGGAAAGTCCTGATGTACTTTACTTGATGAAAATAGATGAAAGACAAACACAGACACCAGACACTGTGTGTTCCTGCTCCCGTTTTGTCCTCTATTTGACTCCCTGTAATTAATGATTTGCTTTTTTGGGTAGTCTCCATTTGTCACTGTCTCAGGTGTAATGTGCTCTGAATATTTGAAGGGCTTCCATATGTGCTAAAAATCCACTTTCCCAGCTGACCCGGTTCTGCCTCCTGCCCTCCTCCAGGTTCCCTCACCAGCGCCAGTCGAAGGCGGATCTCCTGTAAGGACTTGGGCCACGGTGACTGCGAGGGCTGGCTGTGGAAGAAGAAAGACGCTAAAGGCTATTTCACCCAAAAATGGAGGAAGTACTGGTTTATCCTCAAAGAATCCTGCCTTTACTGGTACACCAACCAAAATGTAAGCCAGCAGCAATGCAGCCATTTTGTTTCTCGTTGTGGCTCCTATCTGGCAGAGCGGCAAACCTTCATTAGGCTCAGCCATATTTTCCATTGCAGGAACTAATTAGCAATGAGCTCATTGTCCCTGAGTCAGTCTGCTGTTTCTGTTCCTGTAAACTGAGCTACAGTGAAGGCCCCTCCGGTCAGAGCATTGTAAAAACATCTTTAGATAAGTCTATCTTTACTCTGTTATGATCATATCACTCTGGAACTTTCTGAAATATCTAAAATACAAAGAAAACTCTTAATCCCTTCAGTTCAATTCAATTATATACAGCCAACTTTTTGTAAACCCTTTATTGATCACTGGAGAAATTCACTCTCTCCATTTAACCCATCGCCTAGAGGAGCAGTGGGCTGCCACTGTGCGGCGCCCGGGAAGCAGTGTGGGGTTACGGGTCTTGCTCAGGGACCCAGAGTGGAGGCTACGGGAGTTGAACTCAGAACCTCTTGGACCCAAGCTCTAACATTAGGCCGCCATTCCCCAGCTTACATAATCATCCCAACCAACTTTACAGAGATAATCCCGACAGATTGCTACTGATCTGCAGGATTCATGACTTTGTAGCAACAGCAGATATTTACCTGCAATCTGCTCCTGTCTGTCCAACAATCCCTCACACCGAGCATGCATGCAGCGACAGTGGAGAGGAAAAACTGAAGAAAATAAAACCTTTGGGCGTGCCGGTGGTGCAGTGGTTATCAAGCATGACACATGTACGGAGGCCTTAGTCCTCGACGTGGCGACCCGGGTTAGAATCTGACCTGTGGTCCTTTGTCTCTCCCTCTCTCTCATTCCCCCTTTCCTGTCAGCTTACTGTCCTAAAAACGAGCCACTAGAGCCGCAAAAACAAACAAACAGAAATATATATATATAACTTAACCAAGGTACTAAAATGAGATGGATGGTTGATATAACTGCACATTTCTCAGGGCTTAATGCAAAGTTTAATTTGACAAAGTACCAAATAAAAGACATAAAATCCAGCGGGAGCCTAGAGGAAGCCAGCTTAGGACAGGGAGCATCCTAAAGGTAGTGAACAGAGAACTTGTGATCTGCAGAGATTATTTAAAGACGATGCTCAAAGCTCCGTCACTCTGTCTGATCCAACCTTGTTGAAGATGAAGCATCTTCTTGTGACCAAAATGTTTAACATTTATTTAGAGCTTTCTATTCACTTCTTTATTTTTTATGACATTCCAATTGATCCCTTTATATTAGGAGGGAGCAATATTTCTTATATTAGACTATAATTAAACATATTTATTTCACGCTCAGTAGTTTTCTAATAAAATAATTCGTTTTTTCAACCATTCAAGTTTTGAAAGAATACCACATTGCTTTTGAGTGGTTGTTTTATGCAGCCATGAGCATAAGCATTTAAATGATGAAATTATTTCCTATTTCAAGTAAAACTTTGTTCCCCGTTCAGGAGACTCACATTCCATGTTTTTCTCTTAAGTGCGTCTCAGTAACTGTCCCTGCCAACATCATCAACAGATCTTTTTTCACACGCTTCACTACATCAATCGCATTCCCAATAAAATCAGTAAATCATCGGGCCTGACATTTTGTTCTCTGAGTCGATGATGTACCACCGCTCTCCATCTGTCTCCGCCTGCAGGATGAGAAGGCTGAGGGCTTCATCAGCCTCCCCGAGTTCAGAATAGACCGAGCCATAGAGTGCAGGCGGAAATTGTGAGTCTCCATTATATGTCGCCAGAATTACTAATCAAGCACGTTTGCTCTCAGCTACAAAACGTGATGCACAGAAAAAAAAGAAAGCTAATCAGTCTTTTTCTGTCTGGCTGACTGCAGCGCCTTCAAAGCCTGTCATCCAAAAATCAAGAGCTTCTTCTTCGCCACAGATTGTCTGGAGGAGATGAACAGGTGAGCTCCGTCTGTCTATCTGTGTGTCTTGCAGTGATGTGAACGGCGACGTCACGTGTCGTGAATACTTTAGGCAAGTAAAACAAGTTTACACCGGGCAGTGGCCCAGCGACGCCACGCTGAGCATGAATAAGGAACAATCCTGAGTCACGTGTCTGCAGAGAGTCATGATATTTGCTATCTGATGAGCTCTAATTATCCACACCTCTCCTCTGTGACACATGGAGATAATTGAAGGATAGTAATTAACCGGCTATATTTGACTTCTGTGCAGCGATTGTTGGTTCATGTGTGTCGGTGTGTTTGCAGCCACTTTTAAAGGCTATGAAAGTTGTTTGGGTGACATCATGGCTAATTTTAATATTTACAGTAAATATAGATTCTGTGCTCTGAGGTGCATGAAGCTCGCTGAGTTGCAGTAGGAACCTTTTAGGGCAGGAGTCTGCAGCCTTTCATATCCAAAGAGCTGATTAATTAAAAGTCGCTTAGAGACGCAAAATATTATATGACTTTTTAACAACATTTTTTTATTTTTGAACTCTGCAACAGGAAATATTTTATCATCTAAAACAACATTGAGTTTGTATTTTTATCTTTTAAAACAATAATGAATACATTTGTGAGTTAATTAAAGACAGAGATTGTCAAAGAAAGAGAACCAAGACAAAAATAAATCCAAAAACCTATTTCTATGTTCTTTACGTCACTCTTTTGTGAAAATGCAATTCAAATATTCTTTATTAAAACCACTAAAGCTACTAAGACAAGTATTTGTTATTTTTAGGGGTGTGAGGAAAAAATCATTTTGCTGATTTATTGTGAATATCGATCTTTCATTGGTTAATATCAGTTTAAAAAAAAAATAAAAAATTTCCTAAAACAATGAGTGACCCTCGCTCCCTCTGCACCTCTGCTCTGCTAGATGGCGCTGTGGAGCCCTTTAGCTGTGCGGCACGGCGCCATATTTGTAGGTGAGGCAGTCAGAGTGATAGACTGACTCAGACCCCAAACAACATGGATACCAAATTGACTAAATGATCAATATCTCCTGATGAAAAATTACACGAATGTTTTTTTTATCTATGCATCTCATCTTGATAGCTTGGAAAAATATGGTAATATATAGTGATATTGCAATATTGTGATCATATTGTATGGTGATACGTAAAGTATGGCAACACACATGCCAGTACTCACCCCTAGTTACTACAGTAGATCAGTTCTTTATTAAGAGCCATTTTGGCTCTGGATGGGTTTAGAGTCCTTATAGTTGGTGTCAGGAGGCGTTCAGGAGCGTGACAGCTGTGGGGAAGAAGCTGTTGCAGTGCCTGGTGATTCTAGTCCATGGGCTTCTGTAGCGCCTCCCAGAGGGCAGGAGTGGGAACAGTGTGTTTGCAGGGTGAGCGGAGATGGGGTGAATTTCCGGTTCTTTTCAGACACTTCTTCCTGTAGATGTCATCGATGGCAGAGAGCGTTCCCAGGCGATGCGCTGGGCAGTTTTCACCGCCCTCTGCAAACGCCTTCAGGAACGAGGCAGAGCATTTCCCACAGCAAACTGTTGGCGAGGATGCTCTCCATGGTGCAGCGGTGGAAAAGCGTGAGGATCCCCGAGGACAGATCAGGATCCTGATGAGGAAGAGGTGCTGGTGCGCCTTCTTGATGACTTTGGAGGAGCTGGTCATCCAGGTCTGGTCCTTGTGAACTCCCAGGAACTTAAAGCTGTCTTCAAGCTCCACCGCCGTCCCCTTGATGTGGGTGGGTGGGTGTAGGTCAGCGTTCCTCCTGAAGTCCATAAAGAGCTCCCTGGTATTTTTAGGTGTTCAGCTGCAGGTTGTTTGTGTCGCACCACTTAGCCAGGCGGTCCACCTCCTCCCTGTAGGCGGCCTCATCAGAGGATCGCCGTGGTGTCATCTGGAAACTTGATGATGGCGTTGGAGCCATGGACATGTCTGCAGTTGTGGGTGAGGAGGGAGTAGAGGAAGGGACTCATCATGCAGCCTTGTGGCATTACGCTGTTCATGGGGATGGTGGGTGAGAAATGGTTGTCCAGTCGGACATGTTGGGGCCGGCTGGTCAGGAAGTCGAGCATCCAGTTACACGAGTGGACTGATGCCGAGTTCTGTGAGTTTATTGATGACGTTTGATGGGATGACAGTGTTACACCTTCAAGTCTTCCAGCATTCTGGCGTAAGTCTTCTTACTGTCCAGGTGTGAAAGGACAGAGTGCAGCGCTATGGACCCTGCATCCTCTGTGCCCCTACGCTGCCTGGATGCTAATTGGTAGGGGTCCTGTGTGTGTGTGTGTGTTGAAGGTTGGGGGGGGTGTTCTGAGGTGAGCTAGAACCATCCCCTTAATGCACTTGGTGATGATGGGGGTGAGGGCTGCTGGACGCTGGTCATTGGGTCTGGATGGGTTGGAGTTCTAGGGAATCAGACTAGAATAGACTAGAAGCAGGTCGGTACCACAATGTGGGCCACAGACACGTCTGATATATCTAGGTTATGATAAAACAACTTTGTTTAATTTTTCAACCACCACAGTTAAACTATTTAAATTGTTTTATCACTTGAACCTTTTATTTATTTCCTTGTTGATCTGTTGCAGATTGCTTTGTGTAAATAAGTAGCGAATAAAATGACTACAGTAGTACTTGGTAGAGAACCTTGGTTGTTATGAGCTGCTGTAAACCTGAACCTTAGCAACACAACCAGCTCCTAACACAGTTTCTAAGAATGATTCCAACCCGTCTTCATGAACAGAGGCTCTGTACTCCTGGACCTCTGGGGTTCTCATGTTTCTGCATCATTTTTTAGTTCATGTCAGGTGACTTTAAGGACTTCTTCTAAAAGAAAAAAAGCCTTGACTCTAAGATTTGAAGGTCCAGTGTCGCCAAACTTCATCTTACTGGCAGTTTTTCTCCAGGAACTGAAGCCACGGTGCCCGCCATGCTCTACAGGTTATCAGTTCCAAAGGAGGCAAAGTAAAAGCAGCCTGAGTTTCATTTAACATTAAACCTAAAAAATACGATTTAATCTATAACTGCAGGGATGTTCATAGTTCTTCATATCATGTTGTCATGAGGTACGCTTTGCTGTTGTTCAAGACAGAGATCTGTTTTTGGACAGTTTCCTTCATGATGGCATGATGCTGCTAACTGGGCCCCTGGAAGAGCTGAGCCGGTCCTACTGGGATCAAACTGGGATTCTATGGATTCTGCACTAATAAAAACTATTTGAGAGTAAAATATTCATTATAATTAGGATAAAAGTGATGAATCTGGGATTTGGTAACTTTACTTCTAGTTGGTCAAAGACGATGCTATAAAAATACTTAAAGATATAAAGAAAGATTTTTGTGAATAATTGAAAAAAGCCGCCCTCTCCACTTCAAAAAGAAAGATGCACATGCAGACCTCTGTACCCGAACCCGAAGGGGGGGCACCTATTAAAGGTGTGTGAGAGCGTGCATGAGCCCATTGCTCCTCGTGCACGAGCCCATTGCTTCAGTCACCCTCTGTTTAATACTGCAGTTGCTGTTTGCATCACTCATACAAGCTTAGTTTCCAGAAGAAGTTTTGCTATTTTTCCACTATGTCAGACTCACCAGCAGTCAGTGAAAATGGGGACGAGCACGAAGGATGGCCTTACGTCATCACCACATCACCAGAATGATTGACAGTTAGGAGGACCAATGATTGAGATGATCCACCCGCAAAAAGAACATCCTCCACTATAGCTTTCAGACTTTCTAGCTGTAAAGTGACAAAAAGAGAAATGTTCCAAGGGTATGAAGACTTTTGCATAAATCATTTGCATGGGTTCTGTTTTTAAATTTTAATTTTCTAAAATCACTGTTAGGGTTTTAGAAATATCTCTGCAGGATGAGGTCAGATCATGTAAAGTCGTCTGTAAATCCACCACCTCTGCTTTACCTGTAACAACCATTTCTCCTTCTTCTCTCCTTCCCTCTGCTCTCTATTTTCAGATATTATATTCTGTTTTTCATACTTTATCGTTTTCATTTTGTTTGTCTCATTTTAGGTTGTATTTTCCCTATTTTAGGTTTAATTTCTCCAATTTTTTTGTTTTATTTTCCCTATTTTAGGTTTAATTTCTCCAATTTTTTTGTTTTATTTGTCCTAATTTAGGTTTTATTGTGTCCTATTTTAGGTTTAATTTCTCCTATTTTTGGTTTTATTTGTCGTATTTAGGTTTTATTTCTCCTATTTTAGGTTTTATTTGTCCTAATTTTGGTTTTATTTGTCCTGTTTTAGGTTTTATTTGTCGTATTTAGGTTTTATTTCTCCTATTTTAGGTTTAATTTCTCCTATTTTTGGTTTTATTTCTCCTATTTTTGGTTTTATTTGTCGTATTTAGGTTTTATTTCTCCTATTTTAGGTTTAATTTCTCCTATTTTTGGTTTTATTTGTCCTAACTCTTTGCGTGTTGCAGGTGGATGAACCGGCTGGGTCTCGCTGCCATTGGCTACACACCGGATGATAAAGTGCCGCGCCCTGATGAAGGTGAGCTGCGCTCCCCACCGCAGACATGATTCTCTCTCTCTCCTGTGGATTCACTTGTTCGTGTGGGTTTGCGTTTATCTTCATATCAGACTACTGGAGTGAGAGCGATCAGGACGAAGTTGACGGATCGATGACACTCAAACAGGAGGGGCCCTCGTCCCTCTGTGATACTTACCACCGAACACCATCTGTAAGTAATGTAGCCTCTCCTTCAGGTCCAATCAGCATTCTCTCATTCTGAAGGATTTTTTTATTCTTAAAAGCTCCACAGTTTGCAGAGATCTCTGTATTAATAAATCATCAGAGTGGGAGACTTATCTGCTTCTTTAAGAAGCCAACATCACAGACTTCCTTTACCCTTCTGCCAGAATATGTCCCCACTTTGACCTGTAGGTGGCAGTAGGCCACAGTGCTCATGAGGCTGAAGGCAGCCCTGCGGCATAGAAGAATAAAAACCACATGATCGAATAGATCTGCACCAGGCACGTTCAAAAACCTATAAAACAGATTCGTCTTTATGCCAAACCTCTGGGCTCTTGTTAATCTTTGGGGTTATTAATATATAACTCAAAACAGAATAAATCAAAGTTTCATGAGTCATTTGATCAGATATTGAAATACCCAATATGAAAAGATGAAAAGCCTCTTTTCTCATTTGTTAGACATAAAATCTTCCTTTAAACAGTTTACTATGCCTTCCTCCATTTGATGATGTCTTGACCTTTTAAATGTCCTATTCGCTGCATCTGAGTTGAACTGAGAAACAATAGTGAACATGAGGTAAAGCAACACCTCCTGCACACCATTTCCTCCTGTGATCATGTGACACATTTATAAAAAAATATCACGAGAGGCCAGGAGGCAAGCTGTGATCCTCCATGAGTTTAGTTTCATTCCAGGAAGAGATCCCATAATAATATCTGTATCAGGTTTCCAAATGGGCCAGCTCCACAGGTGCAGATCTATTCAGTCCATGAAATGATGTCAGAATTAAAGTCTCTTGGACAGCAGGAAAGTTTAGCCCTTGATGGGCATCTGTTTATTGTTTATTTATTTGGATCCCCATTAGCTGTCAGTAATTTGACTGCTACTCTTCCTGTCTGTCTGCATCCGTCTGCGATTGAATAAATTCTCTCATTTTGAGTTTTTCTCAGGATGTATTTATTCTGTTTATCAGTTAGTTGTTTTTAAGGTTTCTCTTTCTGACCTTACACTGATCTCAGATTACCTTCTGGGGTATTTGGCCAAAGTATTATTATTGGTTCAACTGTTAAAGTTGTTCCAGTCACTTCCATGGCTGCACGGGTAAAAAAATAAAGCCCCTAGCAATGCAGACTGTTGTTACGTTTGTGAAATAATAGATCACTCTTCTTAGATCAGCAAATTTCTTCCTGGAACTGAGATAGATGCCACCTGTGCAACAAATCCAGTCAGAAACTAAATATTCCACAGTCAACAGGCAGCTAAATCATTAGAAGATGGGAATGTTTGGGAACAACAGCAACTCAGCCACCAAATGGTTGGCCACATAGACTGATGGAGCGGATGCAGTGGAGCACGGTGGGAAGAGGGCGCCAACTAGTGGGGAGTGGAGGCCTAGTGGTTAGGGCATAGAGCTTGGAATCCAGAGGTTCTGAATTTGAGTTCCAAGCCCACAGACTGCCACTCTGGGTCCCTGAGCAAGACTATTACCCCCACACTGCTCCCCGGGCGCCGCACAATGGCAGACCACTGCTCCCCAATGGGAGGGGTTAAATGCAGAGAGAGAATTTTGTTGCTCTGTACTTGTGACAGTGGAATGACAATAAAAAAAAGCTTCCCCCCTCCAAACCTGCTATAGCCTTCAGATTAGCTGTAGCGCAGAGAGCTTCATGGGGTTCTATGGTTCAGCAGCCTCATCCAAGCCGAACATCACAAAGTGCAATGAGTTAAACATCATGAAATCTGATGGAGGAGTCTGGGTTTGCATTGTAGCGTAAAGTTTGGTTGAGGAGGGATTATGGTGTGGGGCAGTTTCTTTAGGAACTGGGCTTGGCCCCTTAGTCCCAGCAAAAGGTTCTTCCAGCGAGGCTTTGCACCAGAGCACGGAGCAACGTCTATAGAGACATGGAAAGCAGAGTCTGGTAGGGAATCAACCTGACTGGCCTACAAAGAGTCCTGATCTCAGCCACATAGAAAACCTTTGAGAGGAATCAGAGTGGAGACTGAGAGCCACGCCTTCTTGTCCAACATCAGTGTGTGACCTCACAACAAGCTCGTAGAAGCCTGATCCAAAGATCCTATAAACACCATTAGAAACCTCGTGGACAGCCCAGAAGAGTGGAAGCTGCTCTGGCTGCTAAAGGGGACTGATGTCATATTGAGCCCCTGTGATGTCACTGTAGCTCAGATGGAAGTCAAGGCAGGTGATCATTCTGGCTTAGAGAAAAGAGTTAATAACAGCCGCTTAAGCCTGGCTGGACCGGTACCGGGCTCATCTGACACCTGCTCATGCTTATCTATTTATAAAAATGACAAGAACACAGTCACATGGCGTTTTATCCATACGCCTTTCAAGTGGGGCTTTAAAATTTAAACATTTAAAATAGTGGTTCCACCTGAAAAAATATTCATCAATGTCTTCCTGTCATACAAATAAAAACAATAGTGTTTCCAATTTATAGTTCAGGAACTGAACTGGCCCTCAGGGCTTAAGGGGTTAACAAATCCACAGAAATGATGATAAGATTAAAACAAACAAATCTGTGTCTGTGGAAAAGAATCAGCATCTTCTGATATCCAGATTGAAGTATTGGTTTTGGGATCCTGAAGATGCTGATCTGTGGAAGGATGGGTACCGTCTGTAAGGACGCAGGTTCAGTGGGACTGAAACTCCAGCAGATCACAGTGAGTGGATGGATTCCACGTGTCTGCACCAAGTTATACAAACTCAGATTTCCCTAACAGCAAATATAAAATTCTGAAACTGACTGAAGTAAAACGAAAATGAACTGCTGGTTTATTACCACTATGAAAACCTTGCTGTTCATTTTTCCTGACTTTCGTCTTCTCATTTATCCCACATGCTAAGTTTCCACTCAGCTTAATGGTGGGTTTTGTGACATATCGTTTCTTCTGGGTAACAAAAGGCATTGGCATCTATTCTTCTATGTAGCCTATATTTTCACTGCTCCATGAGTATCCAGACTAAACCATCCAGCAGCCATGTCAGTCCTTTTTCTGTGCTACACCTCTATCATCCATTCCTTTTTTTGCTCTCATATTTTGCTGTTTTTCTGCCTTTTCTTCTCCTGTCCTCTGCATCCTTGCGTACCTCTTCCTTCCTGCTTTGTTTGTCTCTGTGCTCACACCACCACCCCCCAACCAGTCCAACCTCCTGCACAGTTACGACCAGCTGCCTCGCTCACTGAGCTCCATCAGCCTCATGCGCTCAGCTGCATCTCCACTCCCAAAAAGTGCCTCCACCTCCCCGATTCCTCCACAGATGGTTTCTTCCACCTCCCCTCTCCCTCTGCAGGTCAATTCTTCCAGCCCTTTCCCGGAGTCCAAGCATGGTCGTCATTTCTCCAGCGAGTCCACTCACTCCCACTCCTCAGCTGAGGACCAGCGTGGAGATGGCCTGGGCATGGGCACGGGCAGCACCAGCACCCACTCGTCCAGCTGCCGCTCCTCCCACCGCGAGCGTCGCTCCTGGCAGGACCTCATCGAAACCCCCCTGACCAGCGCCGGGCTCCACTTTCTGCAGACGGCACCAGGGGAGAGCGATTACGGCATGATGGGGGGAATAGCAGGAGAGATGGGGTTCTATGGGGGACTGGGCAGGCAGGGAATGTCCCCAGACCAACGCAGACAAGCAACGCTACCTGTACGGAGACACCACGCAGCAGAGAGGGACAGGGAGCGCGACGGGCCCTTCCCTCTGGAGCGGGGGCCCTACACACACAGCCACACACACCGGCGCTCCCACAAACAGCGAAGTCAGAGTCTACCGAGGAACAGAGATCCAATCCTGGGGAAACTGTTGCACAGCGCAGCTCATATGGAGGAGAGGAGTGAGGATGAGGAGGCAGAAGGTTCAGCAGCAGACATGCTGGAGGCAGAGGATGGTAAGAAACCTTCTCCGCTGCTCACATTGACTCACTGATGTAGGGCCGCTGCAAAGGTTAAACATGATAAATACAGTTAAATCATTTCTGTTTACTGCAGAGCATTAGGGCCAGGCTTACGTTTGGTTTTTTAAATCAGAGAATAAAGGTTAGATGAAGGCGGTCATATGGAGGGACCCCTTCAGCCATGTACCCCTGGTATGAAGCCTCACCCTGGTGAAGGATACTGAACCAAGTTTGGCTGCCCAGTGCGTCCAAGAGGTTGTGAATACATGGGACCGGATGGCGGTCTGCAGTCAATGTAAAGTCTTAACGTGACATCCTGCTTCCTACTGGAGGCAAATTACTGGAACAGCAAAGGGGGACTTTGATTTTACTATCCAACTTTTGATGAGCAGGTCCTGAATGTTCTCTTTCACCTCTTTATATAAAGGTTTAGGAGTTGCTTCAGTGTCCTCAAATAACTTTTGCTTCATTGCTCTGGTTTTGGGTCACTAATGTCCACTGGAGTGTGATAATGTGCAGAGTTTGGTTGCTTCTGGTCTTTACTTAACTTTAGTGTTGATCCAACAGTATGTATGGATACAGGTGCTGTTTCACACAAATGTCTATCTCAACTATTGTGGCGATTGACTCGGTAGAACCCAAAACAGCTGAACTGGGTAGGGCCACACTTTGTTTGGAGTAGTTGGACACTGGTATTTTGACATATGCCTGTCTGTCCTTTCAATCAGTAAAAGTCCTGCTTCAACACTAAGTTGGTCAAGGTGAGTGTTATTTAGCTCAAGCTCAAATAACACTTGTGACTCTGAAGAGTTAATTCTCACTGGGACTGTACACTTAGACACTTTAATACCCACCTTCACAGTGGCTGAGTCATCTACAGGGCGCTTTTGGTACTGGATAAAGCTTACTAGAGCATTTGCAGAAGGCTTGTCAATCCCCATAGCCCTACTAATAAACTCATTGAGTTTATAGTCACTAATGTCACTAATAAACTCATGAATTGTGTTGAATGCTACCACTGGTCTTTAAATCTTAAGACGGCTCACCAGGATAAATCTGGATTGTTGTTGCCTTATAAGTTAACTACCACCTCTACCCCCCGTCATAGGGTACAGAATCATCTGTGACTGCTTTGACATTGGTCCTTATCCATTAGTTCACTTAAAGGCCTAATCTGCTTCTTGGGCAAGTACCCATTTAGCCAGACATGGTCTAACAGACTAACCCCTGCTCCGGTGTCTAGTACCAGTGTTACCAGGTAGCATCTCAGGAGGGACTGGCTACCTACCAGGGGAGCTACTAAATCCTGAGGTGTTTCTCGCTTAACAGCCTCTCTGGAATTGGCCTCATCAGTCTCTCTATCAGAGTTGGGTCGGAGCCCTTCCTTTGAGGGGGACTGCTGAGGTCTGTCTGTCAGAGGTGGTCCCTCTGCCATGGCGTCTCCGGTTTGCCGACTGCTTAGACCTCTTTAAGCACCCTACAGCATGATGTCCTTCCTCACCAAAGCAGTGGGTACGGTTTGGATTGGCATTTGGGGGCACATTCCTGGCAGCTCTTGTTTTCTGTATGGGCTTCCTTCCTACATGGGGTTTTGGGCCTTTCTGACCAGTTGTTGGGTTGATCATTGTGATCACTGCTGTCAGACTCTCCATAGCTAGTGTCAGTACCTCTAATTGTGTAGTTAGCCTTTGGAGGGTGAGCTCTTTATAAGGTTGGCTTTCTTTCACATTTTCTATTGTTTGCTCTTTTGACTCAGTGTTAGCTGTATGGGCATGACTTACTTTTGAAGTAGAACCACACCCCAGCCTGCGCTTCCTCTCATTTTCCTTTAGGTGGTCTTTATTACTTGGCGAAGAAGTGTTTCATCGCTAACACTGGGGTTTCCCAACAGAGTTCTTAAAACAAGCGCACGCTGTCGTACTTCTCACTGTGGACATATTGAACAATTGAATCTGGTTGCTTCAGTGAAAACAGGATCATTTATTTCAGTCCAATCATCCTATATAAAAACTGTTGAGGTGTCTCACCTTCATGTTGTCTGGCACTCATTAGATCTTGGAAGAGTCCTGTGCTACGCTTTTCACCTAAAGGAGACTGCAGAAAACGTTTAAGCTCAGCGACAGAGACTTCGCCTTGATTGTCAACATATCTGGACTGTTGCCTGGCTTAATAGCACGCAATACTCCCCCTAGTCTCTTTGAGACCCTCGTCAACCTACTTACAGTGACTATTATAGGTTATTTCTGATGTTGTATCACTTATCATCCACCCATGCACCCACAATTCTTTATGCAACAGCAGTAGAAGGTCTTTCATATCTTCATTCTCTCACCAGTCCGATTTGAAATACAAAAAATGGTAATTTGTTTTCAAAATAATCATCAGTTGCAGCCCTGTTTAACTCCATGTGTGGCTTTAGATGTGAAGTGGGCGTGGCTAACGTACAGACTTGTTTGTTAAGTCCTGTAGGGCACAGTTTGCACAAAGTTTGTTTTCTGTCCCAGTCTTCTTTGTTAGTTGATCAAACTGCCAAAACTGACATCAGAAATCCCAGCAGATGAGTCTGAATGGAGCAGACTGGTACCAGCAGGAGACACGCTGCTCTGTCAGGCTGTTTACCGTAATAAATACTGTAAAACCTGACGTTATCCAATGAAAAGTTTCATTATCAAATGAACGCCATCGTGAGCTGAGTGTGTCTCTCTTTATTCTCAGAGTGAACGTCGCTCTGGTTCACGTTCATTACTTCAGAACTGATCCGTTCAGTTCGTTGTTACTAAAAATAGGAATATATTCTGTAAAGCCGTTCATTGAACACATTCATGAACGACACTGACAACATCTTTCAAAAATAGACCGAATGAGGAGAATAAGTTAAGTTCTTGAGCTTGTAGTGATACAGCTCAACGTCGGTGAATAGAAATGAATAGATGTGAAAACACAAATCTGAATCTCATGTTTAATTTGCCGTCTTCATGTTGAATCCCATTATTTCCAGTCTACCTCTCACTTCCCCCTTCTGCCTGTTTCAGACCTGCGGGATTTCCGGATAGACAGCAGGGAGAGGAGGGTGTCTGAGGGGAGGGAAAGACGGGTTTCAGAAGGACGGGACTGTGATCCCCTGGATGGGCTAGAGCAGCTGTACCGGGCCCTGGAGCAAGCTAATGTGACCGCGCTGGGAGACCCCAAGCCCTGCAGTAAACAGGAGCTCAGACGCTGCTTCACCCAGAGAGTCAGGGACCCACTGCTCAACGACCGGCTTCACCGGGTCCGAGCCCTCCGCAGCACCTTGAAGGTACCGTTAATCAGTAACAACGGCTTGTAACTAAAGGCTGATTTGAAATATCTGAATGATGAACTGTTGTCTGGCTCCTCCAGGCCAAAGAGTCTGAGCTGGCGGTGATCTGCGCCCTCCTGGAGGACCCCAGCCTCTGCTCCCAGACCTTCAGAGAGTGGAAGCAGTGGCACAGCGAGCTCTATGCAGACATCTGCCAGCTCAGTCCCGGCACCAACGGCCAGGACGACCTCTCCCCGATGGGGGCACCTCTCATGACCCACACGCACTCCTTCATCGAGACACACGTGTGATGCGATGGATGGCACCCTCTTTCAGACGCTGGCGCGGCGACGAACGCCCGGAGGGCTTTCCATCGACCATCACCACTCGGAGCACGTCCTCACACTCAAACACAGGAACAGACGTTGTAAGATGTGTAAATATCACAGAGGGGAAGAGTCTGAGAGGTGTGGGGTGAACTTTTGATAATCATGAGGACCCTCCCCAACACAGGGTGCCTACTGCATGCCTGAACAGAAAGCATTAATCTTCCTTTGTCTATGGAACTCACATAAAGTCCACAAGCTTGTCGACTAAAACAGGAAAGAATAACGACTTTAAACCCATGTTTGTTTCTTTGCGTTGTGTTAATGTTGATGTTAGGGGGCAGGGGGGAGCCATGTAGCAGCAATACAGAGGAGAAACCTTTTCACCACAGCACTGTACTTTTCTACTGATGAACTTTGCACCCAGAGCCACCAGGTCTCCCCCTCCCTCTGCATCTTTCTTTTCTTCTCATTGCATATCTCAATGATTTACAGGGAAATCACTGTTATTTCAGGCTTGTCTGATGGGAGGGACATGTGAGGGCGGAAGCTTCAGTGTTCAGACTGTGAGAGGTAGCCATGATTCGCCGTTTCTCTGGGAACCCATGAAGCGAAGCATCAACCGTGCCGTCCGCAGGCACGCTCCTTTAAACTGTGAAGTGTTCAGTCGTCTTGCAGAAGAAGGCTCCTCTGTTTTAATGCAATCCTGTTTCTGACCCCCCCACACACCCACCCACCCCTCCCTCTAAAATAGTGCTCAAAGACTTGTGTAAATGTGTATACTGCTGTAAATGTTTGAGTTCCACTACCACTGTGATTCGCTTCTAGAGGTAGCGGAGAGGAGACGGCGCGTTTCTATTAGTGTGGCTGCAGGAAAGTTTTTCTTTACTTTTTATCTTGTTTTTTTTCACTGAATGCAAGAGCAAAGGAGTTCTCTTTTCAAAGCAGTCACTCACTACAAAGAATGCACTTTCTATATCTCTGTATCCCATCGGCTGCATCACAGGGTCTGCGTCTCATCAGCCTCCTCCTCATTGCTCTTCAGATATCAGGTAAATTCATCTGCCCTCTCATTTTATAACGATTTGTGTACAGTCTACAGATATATTTAAACATAGGAGAATATATAAATCTATTTACATTTTGTGTCATAGATGTAAAGTAAGATGTATTCTATGCCAAGGTTTTTGCCCCCCTCCCCCCCCGGCAGGGTGCTCTGCAGCGGTTTGACTCGTTGGACTCACTGCTATTCCTTCTCTTGGTGACGTGTTGCATGAGGAAAGATCCGGGACTAGTTAGACTGGACAGGGTAAAATACTGTGGATTCGTTTTTCTTTTTATTTATTAGTCTTGTAGCGCATGGTACATGCAAAAAATATTCTTTTTATAGTATATATTTTCACATTTATTAAGTCTTTTATCATTGCTGACAGTTTACAGACACACACTGTACAACAGACGGAGTGTTTTTCTTTTCTAGAAGGTTGTGAGTTTGGTCCATTTATAGTTTCTTCCAAAAGTATTCACACCCCTAAAACTAGAATTAAAATCTCTATTTTCATTGTTGATGCCTAATTTTAACTCAGACAATCGGCTCAGGTTGCTCATATTAAACAATGAAAAACAGAGCAATGGGCATCCTTAGAAGACTTTAGGAAGTCTTTAGAAATAAGATATTCAGATATACGCCTGAAAGAAACAGATCGCTAACAGGACGAGCGCGTAGGACGGCCTTACAGAATCATATCACCATGATTGACAGCTAGGAGGACCACTGATGGAGATGATCCACCTGGAAATAAAAGATCCTCCTCTATACCTTTAATATACCACAAGTTTCATTCTGTTTATGTTTTAGGTGATAAACCAAATCACAGCAAAATGAAATGTAATCAGAAAATGATGCGTCAATTTGGTTGATTTTGGTTCTTAAGCACTTTACCTTTTTACTGTGATTCCAAATGCAAAATTATTACAAAAATATCTCCACCAGATCTTGAGCGTAGAGATCAACTGATTCAGGTTTTTCCAGATTATTTTGACTCCAGTGTAACTGAATCCCGATTTGAGCTGCAGTTTTTAGAAAGCATTATTGTTTTATTCTTCCTTTATTTATGAGTTAAAAATTAAAATGATTATAAATGTTTCAAAATCTGAAATCAAATACCAAGAAAAAAAAACCTTCCAGAAATATTGTCTGGTTGCTCTAGTTCTAACCTGTTTTTGCCTCTTCTTTACAAAATAGATCAAACTCGGTGAGAAACACAGAGATCTTTTCATCTCTATTTCTGTCTCATCTGAAGAAAGAACAATCTTCCATCTCCTGTGTTGCTTGATGTAAAACGTTGAATGCATTTTTCACCAGTAGCTTGTTTTTATAACCCTTCTTTCTCAAACTGTAAGCTGTGCATGACTAATGTCCACCTGAGCTGTGGAACCGCTGCTGCTCCTCCAGAGTTACCAGAAGCATCTTTCTCCCCGGCCTGACGTTCAGCTGGATGGTTTTTATTAACCTCACCCTGCTTTAAATATCTGTAACATTTTCTTTAAAACTTTTCTTTCTGCTTACTTTGACTTTATGAATCTTATTTTATTTGAAACTAAACTGATATTTTATTTAGGGTTCTTTTAGCAAATAAAGCAAAATATAACAGTGTCCCATTACTTTCAGATTTTTAATCTTTAGATATTTTTTGGGTGGAATTTTCCTTATATTTATGGAAAGTTTGAGTTAATCTGTTACATAAAATAAGAACAAAATGCATTGAATAAAATGATTTTCCCCTACTGGGTCAAATATGCATACAGTAAACAAACTGATTACTAGGGTGTCAATACTTTTGGAAGACGCTTTTTAAATAATGAAACGTGAAAATCAGGGTTTCAGTCGGTAGAGAAGGACTTTGCTTCCCTAATTTTTGCACCCAGGAAGTGGCTGATGCTGATTGGTCACAGAGAAACTAAAATGAATCATTTCATCTGCAACATCAGGCCAAGGACTCAACACTGCCCCCCAGTGTCCAAAACTCTGAACAACGTGTAGCACCTGCTGCATCCAGCTCTGTATGTCCTCACTTCATTTTTTACTGTTGGTCTTGAGTAGATTTTCCATCACATCACACCGAAGTAAAACATCAAACCTATTTTTCCAATCGTTCATTTTTTAGAGTGCCACAAAGAAACTCAATGATGCAAGCACTTTCCCTGTGCCTCCCAAATCCTCTCTTTGACAGCAAAGGTCTCACCACACCAGTGTTCCCTCTCACATCTGCGGCAGACGAAGAGCTACGATGCAGCTCCATGCTCTCCATCATGTCGTAGAAGTGCAGGTCTTCTATCTCCAGCTGCTGCTCCTATGAGCGGCTGGCAGACTGTAGATGAAGGAGAGTGTTTGATTTAGACACTAGTTATTCCTAGCAGACCTGTGAGTGTGTGTGTGTGTGTGTGTGTAGACCTGCAGAAACAGGCTGAAAAGAGAGATTCCACTGTGTGTTCTTTCAGGGGTGTACACCTCATGGTACATTGCACAGGTGTGTAAGATGTAAGTTGCACTGCGACATTAAAAAAGGAACATATTGCTCTTTTTCAAGGATAATATTAGCTTACTGTTATTCTGTACATTAAACTGACTAAAGATGATATTAAAAAGAAAGAAAATGACATTTATTCTTCCTAAAGTAGCCTTTTTTGATTTCATATATATGAAAGTATATAAATATATATAAATATATATATATATATTACAAAAAATACAGATTGTAAACCTAAGTTGTTAAACTTTGACTTCAATAAACTGAATCCTCTGCACTATGAGCTGCTCTTCCTTTCTGTCAATGAGTTTTATTTCTATCTTTCTCAGTGTTCAAATAAAAACATCAAAGTAATTCAGATATTTATGTGTATAGATTTATAATGCACAGGGAGATATTTAAGGTCTTATGTTCATTTTGATGATAACAGCATACATCAGTTATAAGACAGATGAGAAAACAGGATGACTCGTAGCCAAATGTTGTCTGACGTATAAACAGTGTTGTGTTTATTTGTTGGGACTCATTTAGCCTGAATTAGTGCATCAGTGCAGCCCAGCCTGGAGAAGATCAGCCATTGGCTGGAAGCAGCCTTCCATTTCACTGAACTGTTGTAATATTATGGATTCTCTATGATCAGGTGAGTTTGCAGGCCAACCTAATGCAGTTAAATGATCGTTGTTAAAGCAGAGAAAAGCCAGATATACTGAACCCCAGGAAAGAAAAATATATAACCAACTATAAACTCTTAAGCAACAAGAAAATTTATGAAATAAAATGACTTTAAAACAAACTAACATCTCCAGAAGTTCTCAGTTCTCCGTCGTAGACTGAGTTTCTAAGCTGGAGGATCGATCGGTCATCGTAAACTTTGTGGACTGGTGTGAGAAGAACCACCTGGGTCTGAACAGCAGTAAGACCAAGGAGATGCTGATGGACTTCAGGAGAAGATCCTCACCTCACTCCCCCATGAACATCCAGGGCAGGACATAGAACCTGTGGAGAGTTTCTAATCCCTGGGTGTTCAGGTCAATAATGAACTGGACTCCTAACAGCGACGCCCTGTAGAAGAAGGGCCAGAGCCGCCTCCCTCCACCTCCTGAGGAGGCTGAGGTCCTCTGCAGTGAGCGGCTCCTGCTTCAAACCTTCTCTGACTCTGTTGAGGCATCAGCCCTCCTCTACGCTGTCGTCTGCTGGGCAGCCCTGGCAGCTCAGAGCGGGACAGAAAGAGACTGAACAAACTGGCTGTTTCTGTCCCAGGCTGGACTCTGGACTCAGTGTCTGAGAGGAGGGAGCTGTCCAAGCTTCCATCCATCATGGACGCCACCTTCCACCCTCTGCAGCAGACTGGAGAGCAGCTGAGCAGCTCCTTTAGTCAAAGACTTTTACAGCCTGTTAGGAGAAAGGAGCTACTGCAGGTCATTCATCCTGCTGCACCCAGACTCTACAATGAGACGCTACAACCACAATAACTGCTGCTATGGAGAATAATTACTATTTAATATCCTAAACAATGACCGTTTCTCTATATCTGACACCCAGAACAATAACTGAATATATAAATATCCATCTATATAAATACCCATGCAAACACCCTGAATAATAATCCTGGTATAAAAAGAAGCTGTCCTATGTGGACGCCCTGTATATACTGTATATATCCCATTATGCACCTTTTTCTTCCTTTGCCTCCTTCTTCTTCTTCTCCTTTGACCATTTGAGCTAATGAGTAAATTTCTCCACTGTGAGATCAATAAAGTCAATCAATCAATCAATCAATTAATCAATCAACTGATCCATACTGGGTATGTAGCACTGCTGGTAACTGAAATCAGAAACTTTGGCAGGAAGGCATCAGCTGCTAAATATCTCGTGGACGACGGCTTGGCTGATTTTCTGACTAAATAAGCAAAGTGGAGCAAAACCAGTAAATGAAACGTCTTTACTAATAATGGAAACTTCCCACTGGGATTCAGAGTAAAACAAACTTTAATGTCATCTTGTTCACATAGATGGTTTACAAAACCAGATTTCGATGGGCTCTCCTCATCCTCCGCAGGACGTCCAGGTGCTTCTGGGCCCTTTAGACCAGAGAGGAGGTGTTTCCAGTCCAGGTGAGGGTTTCTGGGATTCAAACTCTGGAAACTTTATTAACCCTTGATAGGGCGCTCAGTGAAATCCTTTGAAAATTCCAATTTCCGGCTAAAAGTGTTCTTGGAATCCAGGACCAGACATTATTACCTTTGTAACATTAAAAAATCTGGACTTTTTGATGGCAAAAGTGAATATCAATATAATAACCAGAAACGCCAACTTGCCCGAATATATTAAGAAAAATAACAAAAGTGCTTCTAGAAAAAATTCATGACAAACTCTGAGAGCGAAAGAAACACTTTTTATTTGGTCCAAGGCCGAGGTCTGGTCGGATTCCAAGACTCCTTGTTATGCAGCCTTATAATGTGTCCTTCTTTTAGCCCGATTTGAAGGACGGGTCCGATGTATCCTCTCTATCCTTGGATATCCCAGGATGCATTGCGAGACCAAACAATTCAGCTGCTCTGTGCTCAGAGGAAAAAGACAAATGGTGAATATTGTAGGTTCAGTTTAATATAATTCAGTCTGTGAATAGTTCCGTCTGAAATGAATGAAAATAGTTGTTTTAATGGTTATTGAGTCAGATATGTGGCGGTAATGTTTGATTTATCTAAAGGTTTTAATCTGTTACTGTCTAAATGAGTTTGTCTGGAATTTAAGGATAGATTCTAATATATCTGCAGTTTGGGGACTATAAATTTGGTAAGATTTTAATTTATAAAAGATTTTATAAGAATAACATAATAGGGAAGAGTTAAAATATAAACAATAAAATACCGTAAAGTGTTTTAACAATATCAAACTGGAGAATAAATAACCAATATGCAGCTATGGACATTTTCACAGTAATTTAAAAATAGCAGCAACATCAGAGATGTGCAAAATGACAGCAGCAGGTTATTTAAATGACTAAGGTTTCTATCATTACATTTGATTTGATTAGTTCCTGCTCCGGTGTAGGTACCAGATTGACTCGGGCTGCCAGATTGACTCGGGGGCCTGCGCCTTTTGAGATGCGTCAGAGCGTCCGCCATCTTAAATGTGGCAAATCTGCAGTTTCTCAGTCACTTAAACAGTATCAGAGGGACTTTAATCTCTGAATATACTTTGTATTCGTAGTATTTTTGGTTTTGTAATATTACAAGTTTATTTTTTGTATCCCTTTAGCTTCATTCTCCTGAATTTAGTCTCGTTACAAATGCAGACCGCTGGCTCAATGTAGTTTGTTTGAGTGGCATTGCCATAATGTCACGTCATCGGGAGGCGCAAGGCCCATGGCGAATTCGGTGACGTCATCAGAAGGCGCAGGGACCATGGAGAATGTCTTCGTAAAATTGTCCGTTTACAAACAGCAATCCCGCTTTCGAATAAAACCTACACCCCGCTATAATTACTTTAGTAAGCTGTCCAGACCAATCAAAATGTTTTGCGCAATTGTGCAAACGTTAAAACAATTATGTATTGTGACGTCATCAAAAGGCGCAGGCCCCCGAGTCAATCTGGCAGCCCGAGTCAATCTGGTACCTACACCGGCTGGTTGGAACCTTTATTCCACTCTGGATTCTTGTGAGTGTACTCTTTGTAGTCTTTATTTATTTATTTTTATTGTAAAGTGAGCAAACAGACATTTTTTTTAAACTTCAGTATTCATTGTTTTTCTGCTTTGCGAGTCATCTGTCACGGTTGCTAAGCAACAGAGCCTGCGTTGAAACCCGCTGAAGGGTAGACATGTTCAAATTCACAGCCTAAACTCTTCCTGTCTCCTTATTTTCACGGACTAGGAAGGATCCAGTCCTGGTAGCCCGCGTCCTTGGAGGATGAATGTTTTGCTCTGATCGAGCAGCTGAGCTGCAGTTGCAGCCTCAGGCCATTGGGTGGCAGCAGCGGAGCGCTTTAAACCTGCGCAGCTTCTGTTGGTCCGAAGAAGAGGAGCATCGCTGTCATGGCGGCCAAGGTGAAAGTTTATCTGCTCTATTTGGAAGTTTCTGCTGTTTTCTCTGAATATTTGTAATGAATCCGTGGATTAAATAGAAAATAGATCGATCAGTTAGCTTTAAACTTCCTGCTTATCAGAGGAAGCTATCGGTGTTTGGCTACCAGCTGATGCTAACTGAGCTGAGCGATGTTTAAACTCAATCTTTCTATTTTTAACCTTAAATGTTCAGGTTATAAACTATATAATAAGTCTAATTCAGGCATTGTCTTCTTCTAATTATTGTTTACATTCTTATTGTTGACACAATCTGACGTCAGTGAACAAATATCTTTATTTCAGAGTCATTAAAGAGTCTTTTTGCTTCTTTCTGCTAAATAAATCCATCATGTTTGATTATTAAAGAAGTCAAATGTTGTTTATCTTCTTCCTCTTCTAAAGCTTTATTTTAATAGAATCTAAACAAATTTCAATATTTAACTTTTATCTGAATATTACATGTTTTTAGATTAAACGGATGTTTGTTAAATTGATCTTTATCTGTTATAGATTTATTAACTATGATAAAGTTTAACATGCTTTAGGT